ACCACGCCTTCTGCTGACTTAGACACTGTCTAAAAACTCCATGAGGCAGGATGAGCTGCAAGTAACTGCTTTCTCTAGCCAGGTAATTTCTGACCTTGTTCCATAGTTCAGTCCTTCAGCTCTTATTTCTTGAGCTACCACATTATGCCTGACTCGATGGACCTACTGTTAACTACAAGCCCTATCCAAAGCTGATTGAGAAGATCAATAAACAGTCTCCCAAAATGCAAGAATAAAACGGGGCCAAACTGAACAAAGCAACCACTTTAGCACCCTGAGACTAGATCAAAGGCACGTAATCTAAAAACCACCTGTGCTTGAAAACCAGCTGAACTGCAGGTAAGAACAACGGGAGTCTGTGCCATTCTGGCCTGGGGCTGGTCTCATTCCCCACACCCACCCCCAGGCTCAGCTTGGTCAATAGAGAAGTTGGGCAGGGCAGGGCAGGGCGTGAGTAGCAATAGTGCCTCTGCAATGGTCCAAAGGACTCGTTCAGTTTGGAGCACTTACTCCTACGGGGAGAAATAACTAGCATCAGAGATGGTAATTATACAGGTGAATAGGAAAGAATTTGGTTGTCTTTTTCTCATTTCTTACCTTCTTTGAAAGATACATGACTTCATAAATAAAAAACTATAACATTACCTTGTTGGGTTTGTAGCATATAGAGGTGTAACATATATGACAACAATAGCACAAAGAAGGGTGAAGGGCTTAGGGATGTACTGAAGCAAAGTTTTTATATTTTTCTAGAGTTAAATTAGTATTGACTTAAAGTAGAATTGCGATAACTTAAGATGACTATTGTAATCCTTAGATTATAAACTTGAAAAAATAGCCTTTCCCCCCCCAAATTAACAGAGCAGTTGAAATGTTACCCTGCAAACATTTAACATAAAAGAAGGCAAGATGTGAGTCGTGACCAGGCCACAAAAAGCTGGTGTCGAATGTTAAGAAATTTGAACTTTATTTTGCTCATTACATAAATTCATTGAAAGATTTTAGAAGAGCGAGTAACATTGTCTAATAGATCATGAATTGAAGCGAGGTCAGGCTCCAGGCAGAGGACTTGTGGGAAGGTGGTGGGAGTAATCCAGGCAATAAAGGATCGAAGACTTCACCAACAGGAGGAGTCTTTCTAAATTAAAACATATTTCAGAAGCAGAATTGACAAGTCTTTGTGATTTATAGCATCTAAGGGTGAAAGAGAAGGAGGTATCCTTGAAACCGTCCAGCTTTCTGACTTAAACATTGGGTGGATGGTGGTGGCATTTATTTAACAGGAAAGAGAGAGGCAGAACTGTGAGGGGCAGAGATTTAGTTTGAGGTACCCAGGACTGATTGTCCAGTCGGAAATTCAGATGTGGAGCTTGAGATGGCGTTCTGGGTTAAATGTGAGCAGGTGAGAGTCACTGGAATGTTGATTCAGTTGAAGCCATAGGTTTGAATGAGGCTACTCAGAGAATACGTAAGTGAGAAGGAAGTGGGCATGAGATTGAATCTCGGGGAACATCCAAATGCAAGAGATAAACAGATGAAGAGGATGCGGAGAAGGAAGAAACAGAGAAGTAGAATAGAATGTAAAAAGGATATCAGGAAGCCAAAGGGGAGTAGAGAGAAAATATGATCAGATCGACATCAAATTCTAGATAATCAGAAATAAAGATGAAGAATGATAAGGAAAGTGCCCATTGTACACGAGAATTTGACTGTAATTGTTAACCTTAGGAGAGAGGTTTCAGTGGAGTGGTGGACTGGGGTGGAGTCAGTTGAAAGTTAAGGTGAGACACATCACAGGAGGCAAAGGAAGTGTGGATGGGGAGGGCAGATGACCCCTCCAGGAGCTTTGAACAGAGAGGCAGAGTGTGAGAGGATAGTAGTTAGAGCTGAGATGCTTAGAGAAGCTGTTTTTCTTCAAGTTAGATGACACTTAAATAGAGGGGACAGCATACTTATGTGCCAAGGGGAAGCCGGAGAGAGGGAGAGGGTGACATCACAGGCAATTGAGCGAGACTGCGGAGGAGGCCAGAGGAGAGGGGACACGGGCAATGCCCACTGCATAGGCCCAGCAACAGGGGTGTCCAGCCTTCGGGTGTCTCTCAGCCACACCGAAAGAAGAGTTGTCTTGGGCCACACATGAAATATACAAACACTAACAAAAACTTATGAACAAAATAAAGGTTTTAAGTAAATTTACAATTTTGTGTTGGGCCACATTCATAGCCCTCCTGGCCGGCATGTGGCCTGTGGGCCTCGGAAGTCCTTCCAAATGTAGCTTAAACCCTGGTCTCCAGCTGTTTCCACAGCAGAGCCCTCCAGCCGGCTGCTATGTTGGCTTGCCCACAAACATGCCTTGCTCACCCTGATACCTTTGCCCTACTGCCACTCCATCACAAAGTTACCCCCCTCTTTATGTATAGGGAGAGTGAGAATAAAATCCCAACAAATCGTGGACTAAGAGGTCCTTTGCGACCTGCCTTCGGCTCTTCTCTCCAGTTGCTTACGAAACTACTTTCCCCTACGCTCTCTTCTGTTCCTAGCACTAGGAAGTACTTCCCTGCCTCCCAGACATTCACCCTTATCCGACTGCTGTCTGGAATGCTCTTTCTTTAGCCTTTTTGTGCTTGTGGCTGGTGCCTTCTCATCCTTCAGGTCTTAGCCTGAATATCACTTTACTTGATTCATTTAAAATAGATCTATATAAAATAAACCCCACACTCCATTATTTACTACCTTGGTGATTGTAAATAATGCTGCAATGAACCTAGGTATGCTTATGTTTTTCAAATTAGTGTTTTGGATTCCTTTAGATGAATTTCCAGAAGTGGAATTGCTGAGTCATGGGCAGTTCCATTTTTCTTTTTTTGAGTTATCTCCAAATTGCCTTCTATAGCGGCTGCACCAGTCTGCATTTCTACCAACAGTGCAAACGGGTTCCCCTTTCTCCACATCCTCGCCAGCACTAGTTTGCTGTTGATGATAGCTATTCTGACTGGTGTTAGGTGATATCTCATTGTGGTTTTAATTTGTGTTTCTTTGATGACTAGTGACATTGAACATCTTTTCATATGTCCTCTTTGGAGAAGTTTCTATTCAGGTCCTTTGCCCATTTTTAATTGGATTGTTTTGGGGGTTTTGTTTGTTTTGAGTTGTATAAGTTCTTTATAAATGGGATTACATTGAACTAAAAAGTTACATATGTAACTTTACATAGACTTTACAAGACTATTGGGTTTTGAAATATCTGCTTTGTAGGTTTGTGAAATCCCTAGCTGAAGAGCTCTCCAGTGTTTATGGTTTCAGGACTCACTCTGCCCACCTGTAGGCAGTGTTTCAGGGAAACTGGAATCTAGCCTGACAGAGATGTCAGGAAGGAAGTTCCTTCCAAACTCTTCTACATGCTTCTGCAGTCTGGAAATTCTGCTTCACATCTGACCTTAGGTTTCAGCTATAACTGACTCCATGTTTTAAGCTCCAATCAAAAGAAGCATCCCTGACTCCAAGAAGCCCCGTCTTCCTTGTAAAAGATGACTTCAAGGGTAGTCTGCTCTGCTCACCATCACCTCCTTCCTTCCTTGTGGTGTGCAGCCCTCCCCAAGGCTGACAGTAAGCACCAAGTCCTCAGGGGCTCTTGTTTCTAACTCTCTCCCCCTAAAAGCCATAAGTCATTCCTGAAATCTTCTCAGGTTCTGAGTACACCCAGTAGTGATTTTCTTCCTGGGTTCCACCCTGGAGAAGATGTGTGTGGTCAGGAAAATGTCACCCAACCAGTCTCTACTTATTTGACAGGTCAGCAGGAAGCGCTGTTCTCCCTGGTGTCCTCCTGAGTGTTGTTGCTCCAAGAAAGCCTCCCCTGAGTGGATGGGTGTCTGCTCTTCATTAAATCTTCAACTCCACAGACCCAGCTGTTCATTGTGGTAGAATCTGGGCAATGCTGTACTTCACCAAGGACTCCGTTTTTCAGCTTCCTCAGAGGCCAGGGATGTAATTAAATGTCATCGTTCTAATGACACACATTTTCCATTCCAGCTGCTTGAAGTTCCTTCTCTGCTAAATGGTGTAGCAATTAACTCTTTGGCCAGCACCTACCACCCCTGAGAGTGGCCTGCCAAAATGACCTGTACTCCTGCGGTTTTAGAGTCCCTGTAAATTAGGCAGAACTCTTGCCATCTCAAGTAATGTCGTGATGTAGCTTGCTGAATTTATTTATTTATTTATTTATTTATCTATGTATTTATGTATGTATGTACGTATTTATTGGAGTGGAACGTGGCTATCATTACTCATTTTAAATCAGGACTACTGGAAACAAGCACCATTAAGGTGGCTATAATTCACCAAAATGCCAGCTTTTCAAAATTCTTAAATGTGTAACATTCCAGAGTGTAGACAGTAAGAGGAGAACCTCACATTTACACAAGGGCTCAAATTTAGATACTGACATTATCTCCAGGTGAGACTGTGGAGTCTCAACGTGTTAGACCATTTATCCGGTGTAAATAAACATTTAAAATATGCCACATTGCAATCCTGCTCTTGATATTGCTTTATTTACTTCTTCATTTAACATACCAGGGACACCCCTGCACGCTCCCCACAAAAAAAGCTATCTGAACCTCACTCCCAACTCTTGGAAATCTTGGGTTAGGGTCTCATCACCTGGCGGGGATGAGAAGGGTACCAAAAGGGTGACTTGGAACGCGGGGTTTAGGCAGCAGAAATTTCAAGGTCACCTCCCAAAGTCTTGGAGATTTGGGCTCCGCGTTCCTAAAGAGGCCCAGGGAGTCCGAGGTGGTGGAGGGACCTGAGCCCAGCCCGAATTAAACGACTGTGGCGCAAACCGAAGCCACCTACAGCAGACTGTGGAGCGGAGCCACCAGGGGCACAGAATGGGGCGTGGCCGCAGGCGGAATGGGCGTGGCCTCGGAGAGCCGGGAGGAAAGCCCTGGGTGGAGAAATGCTCCCTGATCCCGCGCTGGGGGCAGTCTCAGCCCGCGCCGGAACTTCAGAAGCGAGTTGCTTCCGCGTGCCGGAAGGGCTGCGCCTGCGCGCTCCAGGGACCTGAGTGACCGGGAAGCGGGCGCCCTCGGGGGCGGAGGTTTGGGGGCGGTGGCTACCAGGGAGTCCGTGTTTCGTTTCCGCTTTCCGCTTTTCAAAGTTTCTTCCGGAAAGCCGGAACGTGCAGGAGCAAGCCGATGGACAGATACACCCACTGTGCCCAATTCCTGTACGGCCACAAGGGCGCCAATTCCTCTCTGCACCCCGCCCATTAAAGCGGTTTCAGGGTACACCTCTGTGGACCTGTCTCCCCAAAGTGAAAAGTTTGTGTTTAACCCGTGGGTGAGGAGACACACTTTCGTGGCGCAGCGGAGATTCCAGGGGGGAGAGCCATAAGGAGCTGGTGCCCCCCCCCCCCCCACGGGGAACGCCTGTAAACCCAAGGCCGTAGGGAGCTTGACAGGTCCCGGGTCCCTGGATTTACCCCTGGCAGTGCTCTGGATGCCTGCTCGGGAACTGCTTCGGGGCCATGCCAATTTCATCCACTTTAACCGCCTTCTGTCCTAACTTTATGTCTCCTATCTAGATTCTGGGCTCAGTGATGAGAGACTTTCAGGGCTGGCTGGAAGCCACAGCCCAGTCTACCGATGCAGTCTGAATCCAGTGGGTGTGAAGAGGAGACCCCTTCCCTCTGGTGGGGTTTGGATCCTGTGTTTCTAGCCTTTGCAAAACTCTACATCAGGGATATCCTGGACTTGAAGGAGTCCCGCCAGGTGCCAGGTATGTGGCTGCTCCCCTGGTGGATGCCCTGTTTTGCATCTGTACCCCACTGTCTCCGGAAGCTGCAGAAATCTGGGGCTTAGGGCTTTCAGGAAAGCCTTCCCTCCTGCAGACTTTGAAAAAGACCTAGCTCTGACCCTGAAACGAGATTATTTCTATGCAAGTTAAAAACAGTGTAAATCTTTTTAAAAATAGGTGTTTGGGGGAAGAACGTTTGTACTGATGAATTTTTTTTTTTGTAACAGGGTTCGAAGTCTTTCATATGTAAAAATACTCAGTTGTTTTTCCTGGTCCTGCTCTTGGTAGCAAGGTCTCTGGACCAGGCATTCCTAGGCTTCGCTCCCTTGCCTAACTGGGCCACTTACCTGGCCTGGATGTGACTCACCTGTAAAGCCTCTTTGTAAAAATGAGGATTCACCTGAATTCCTTGTGTGGGGGGGTGTTTTGAACTCATGTCACATTTTGAATTCATACCAGAATAACATGAACATCATCTGCCTTGTTCACATATGTAATCCCATCGTTTAGAACAGTATCTGGTGTGTAGCAGACCCTCAAGAAACAGTCATTGGAGCAAGGAAGCATTATAAGTGTAAATTTTCAAGAAACCACTTTTTTACAGTTAGAGTGGGGGGTCAATAAAGATAGGCTCTCCATACCTAAAAATGTAACATATACTGTGGGGTAGATTTAAATAACTCACATAGCAGAGTGTGGATCTTTGCACATTTACTGTGCTATATGAGAAGTTTGGTTCAACTCTTTACTATTTTGAATGAATAGCAAGCTGTGAGTAGTCAGAAGTAGTCAAGAATTTTAAGCGTGCACAGTTTTAATGAGGCAGTGTTTTTGTGTGTGTTTCTAGTTTTGTGTACAAATGTATTTGGATGACCTTAATCTAAAGTCTTTTTTACAGATTTTTTCACCACACCTTTATTTCCTAATTATTGTTGGAAATGTTCTGGTTTTTCCTTGGAAGGCAGCCATCCTCCCCCACATTTGTCCATTTTCCAGAACAGTCTGGTATTCTAAACAGCTCATCTCCTCGGGAAGAAATTAATTCACACCAAATGCCAGCCTTGCTTAGAGGTCTTCTGTAGGTGCTTAAGGAATTATTGTCACCGGAAAGGGACTGGCCTGGGGAGTGGGTCTGCCTCTGGCAGGCATGTAGTGTGTGGGTTCTTTATTTGTGCAGGGAAGCTTTTGCAATACTAGTCCAGGTGATTTTGAGAGGACGTTTATTAAAGCTGGGGATAGTGAAACAAAGGAAGGTCTAGGATAGGAGAGAATCTCAGCAGAGCTGCTTTGGTTCTCTAGAAAGGTTATAGGAAAGAAGCTAGCCAAGGCAGGGTTGCTGTTAGCTCACTGGAAAGTCAGAGTAAAAGGGCCTTGGAGACTGGTTCAGGGGGTAAGCCCAGATGAGCTGCCACTGCCCGCTGTTTCGCTGGTTGCAAGTCCAGTGGGGAGAGACCCTTACAGTTTAGGCAAAAGTTCACACTGGAAGAAGGAAAAGCACGAGCGTGCTCCTCATCCAGAAGGAGCCCCTCACTGGGTCTGTTGTCTTCAGACTTTTTCTCTCTCCTTTGCAGGTGGGAATCTTAGGGGAGGTCTCTAGGAAGGGTTTTAGCAGAGCATTCATCAGCTTTCTAGGGGTGTGTGTGTGTGTGTGTGTGTGTGTATGTATGTATTTTAAGGTTTTATTTATTTTTAGAGAGGGGAAGGGACGGAGAAAAAGGGAGAGAAACATTGATGTTTGGTTGCCTCTCACATGGGCTCCCGGCTGAGACCCAGGCCTGTGCCCTGACTGCAAATCGAACCTGTGACCCTTTGGTTCACAGGCCAGCAGTCAATCCACTGAGCCATAGCAGCCAGGGCTCCAGGTGTGTTTTTTAAATGGACCAAAATAAATGCATAAGAGGAACCATTTCCTGGTCTGCTTTGCCTCAGTCTTGGATTTGTTTGATTCTAATTGGGGTGTTATTCTCCTGATTTCGTTCTTCCTTGGTTTTGCCTGGCATTAGTGGCACTAATTGTGTTTTTGTTATCTATCTCCCAGACCCTGGCGATTTAAGCTGTTTACTGTCTGGCTTGGGAGTAGAGGTGTAAACCATTTGCTCTCAAGTGCCTCGGTTAGGGGAGATACGCTCTTTCTGTTTACTAACTGGCTGTAAATTGCTTGACTCCTTTGGCCCTATTTATCTAACCACCTGTCTCAGTTTCCCTTTTCCCACTTGTCAAAAATTCTCCCAATGTCTAACTGTCCGGCCTCAGTATCAGGGGCATGATGAGCTTAACTCTTCCTGTGGGTGAAGAACTTTGTGATGGATTAACCACAAAGCAAGGAAAACTGGTTCTGGTGATCTTTGCTGTATATGGTTTTTAAAATGAAACCTCATGGTGGAAGCAGACATCAACCTTAATTTCACAGAGTGATCTTTAGATTAAACTGTAGATTAAGGGTCCTGGGGGCAGGAAATGCCACATCTAGGTTTTTATTTTTGTTGTTCTGGTTTGGTTTGTCATAAAAAGCTCCTATTTTGGTTGCATAAAATTTAGAAATGTTTCAACAGCAAAGAATATCTTAAGCAAAGAATGATAAAACAAGAAACAAATGTGTAAGAAAGCATTTGGTTGTCCTTTGTCCTTGGTTATCGGGAGATCTTTGGATTTCTGGGAAGATAGGCCAGCTGTTGTTATGTTGTTATTGGGGGTGGTCTCTTGAACCACACCTGAGTTTATGCTAACTAGTGCCTCCTGCTGGGCCTCCAGGTAGTTTCAGGATGGAGGTTGTTAGTGCCTGAAAGACCAACTGTGTGATTAGAGGGTTGAGTTTTAAGCCACTGTGACTTCAGCCTGACTCCTTGGGAGGGAGCAGGGGAGGCCTGGAGATGAAGTTGTCCTGTGACCAATGATTGATAATCCTGCCTATGGAATGGAACCCAAATAAAAACCCTGGGCGCTGAGGCCTGAGTGAGCATTCCTGGTTGGTAACCTCACATCCCTGTGCCCTGAGAACATGGGGGCTTTGTGCCTGGACTCTGCCAAGCCTTGTCCTGTTCATCTCTTCATTTGGCTGGTCTTGATTTGTACCCTTTATTAAAATCATAGCTGTAGGCATAGCACCTTCCCGAGTTCTATGTGCATTCTAACAAATTAGCAAACCAGTTGGAGTCCTGGAAATTCCCGAATTTGGAGCTAGTTGGTCAGAAGTTTGGGTGGCCTGAAGACCCCCAAATTTGGGGCTGGTGACTGAAGTGAGATCAGTCTTATGGGATACTGTGCCCTTGCACTTTGACATTTGACCTTGTACTGGATAGCCTCAGAATTGCTTTGAAAAATGTCAACTCCCCTAAAGTGACATGGGGATTTAGGGTTAAACTAATAAAAATATTGTGAAGTTTGACTGTGGTGGTGTTTAGGTTTGGGGCATCTCATTTTGCTTTGTCTTTTTGTTTATAGCTCATAGCACACAGAAGCAGTCTATTAGTCCAAAGCCTCTGTCCCTGTCAAGAAACGGCCAAACCTCTATGAATTTTATGAGTTTATTTGAGCCAAACTAATGCCAGTTGCCAGGAAGCAAAATGTCAATGAGTTGAGAAAATGCTCCAGGGTATTGACAATTTAGTGTCATATTTTATGCAATAGAATCAGAGGAGAAGACTTAGGGAGTTAGGTGAAATCCGTTGGTGATAGATTAGGGAGGTGGGAGAAAGCAGAGTGGGGAGGGAGGAACCTGTGGGATTGGATAAGAGGTAAACTGATAGACACATACTCTTGCACAGGTGGGTATAAGATAGTTAACAGTTAGCAATTAATATGAAAACAATAATAGGGGATTTGTGGTCCCCCCACCCTCCCACCCTGCTCCCCCAAAGAGAAAATTGTACATTTCAAAGGTATGTTGTGGATGCAAAAAGACAACAGACAGGCTCAGTTAGGGCAAATATTGACCTTTGCTAGGGAAAAATACTGGCCTAGGACATAACTACCCACCAGGAACTGCTCTTGGATAATAAGTTTTAATTTCAGACCATCCTTTGTGGTAACTTTAGGTCTCTGAGTTTGTTAGTCTGCCACACAGGCCTCCCCTGAGCTTGTCAGGTTTAGTATGTGGCCCTTTTCTCTCTCCCACAGGATAGATATTGAATCACTTATTTAAGTCAAAATACAATACTTACATTGTCTAGTTTTAGAGGGTCCAATGAAGTAGAAATATGTATTCATAAGGATTATATTAAATGAATATATACACTTGTATTTTTAAAGTGTTTTCTTAGGCATTTTAACACTATCAAACTATAGCACCAATTAATTAACAGCAGTTAGACTCAAAAAAACATTCGTTGAAAGCACTTCAGAGAGAAAACAGGCAGATGTTCTGCTGGGATGCGGCTGTTCAGGGGCTGGCCGCCATGAAAGCTAAATCAGACCTGCCTGTGGCCCTGGATTTTGGGACCCTCCCAGCATGACCCTGCTTCTGGGGGACCTGATGACCCAGTGATCCCCTGGTCCATTCAGGCTTCTGTGGGCTGCACGTGGAACAAAAGGCACCAGGAACAACCTTCCACTGGGGGAAAGGCTCCAGCTTTAACTCATCATCAGTCTTCTCTTGTGGTTACTTTCTTTTCTTAGCTCGCCAAGCTTTCAACAGAGCTGCCATCCAGTTTTCTTGAGCTCTTTCCTCGTAGAAGAGAATCTTGCGTGGATAGAAGACAGTGGTCCTCCCAGTTCTTTTTTCACATCCTCAGCCATTTTGTTGCAGTTGTACTTCTGATACCGTATAGTTCATGTTTCCATACACTTTGGGAAACTTTTATTTCTACACAATGTATTTCCTCCTCGGTTGATTTTCTTGGAGTGTTTCTATTCAAGCCATCTGTTATTTTCTTCTAAATTTGTTCTCTGTTTTTCTGTGATGCTTTTGAGTTGTTTTTCTCTCAGTTGCTTGGGCTTGGGAGGATTTTTTTGCTTTTTGAGTGACTGTGTCTGCCCTTAAAGTTGAGCCATTGTCAGTCCATGAGCTGAAAGTCTAGCTCCCTTTTCTGTATTTTTTTTAGAAAGTCTCTTGTGTCCTTAGGTGAAGACCTGTCCAAATTTTTATCAAGCGCTGCCCAACACAGAGTTGGTAACATTGGATGACTAGGCTTCAGGTGACTTGGGGACTTAGTTGGCTTGTGTTTGGTCTGATCTTCTCATCATCTTTTCCATATGCGCCCAGACAGAACGCCTTTTGACTAGCTTTTTTTTACCTTCTTAAAGTATGCCGGCTCTGTGCCCTGACAACCACCATAAGTAGCAGCACGTCCCACGGAGCCGCAAGGAGACCCAGAGAACCCTGGGCCTGTGGGAACCTTTCACGTACCACCAGCAGAACACCCACTGTGCTCCACCACCAATTGGAGAGACCTTTTGAGGACTGGCAGTATGCCTCCATAGGTCCCAAGGGCTCCCCAGCTCTGCCTTTGATTGCAACTAATCATGGAAACATGGAGTGTTTTGTCTCTAATACAAACAGTTGCCTGACAAGGACCACGGACCATGAGTGGGGCTGGGGGAGGGGAGGCCAGCCAGGTTATAGAAAAGACTGCTCTCTAATTTTGCTCTGCTCAGTGTACAACTAGAAAGAATTGTTACCTGTCCAATGCATTTGGGGGAGCAGAAAGGGCCGACCCAGCCAGAGACCAGCCCAGAGCTCCAGCCATTGTAAGCCCCAACTGGCCCTACAGAAGACAGACTTGGAGGGCCAGAGTAATGCCAGCCATGGCCGATCTCTGCACAAGAGCATGTTACGGCACAGCCGGGGCACACTTCACTAGAGGACTCCACACCGGTTTCCCTGGGTGAGGCTCATTCTCCCAATTTTAACTTCCCTTCTCCCACGCAGAGAAGCAGGAAAGGTGGTCTGCAAAGGGCCTGCAGGGGTCTCCTCCTCTCTCCTTTGTGTTTGCTCAGGGCGGGTAGGGGGTGCCAGGGTTGAGGGCCTCACCAAAGATAGTAACTAAGGCCTGGGTTTTAATCAAAAGAACTCAGGAGCAGTCAACGGGAACTGCCTTGCTCTTAAAACTTCCTGGGTTATCTGTGGCTCCAGTCTGTCCTCATTCAATTCGAGTGCTGCTGGGTGGGGGCAACTCTCCTCCGGTGATGACACAGCAACCCAGGCCCTTTCTCTTGAGTGGCCCTCCCATTTCAGCTCATGGTCCCCAAGGTTGCCTTAGGCACATCTCTAGTTTACTACGTGTCTTTTGAAGTAGGCCTGTCAGGGGCCCTTCTTTTGGCTAAATTTGCCACCTTTTCTTCAAACTGCATCTCACTCTTCTCTGGCTAACTGGGGCCAGAGCCTCTTTGTCCATCCCCTGCACCTCTGCTGTGAGCTACTGACCCCCAGCCCTTTTATCGGCATTGGAAACCAGACTGTCGTCTGTGGAGGCCAGGCTGGAGTTTCTGAAGGGTGCTGTGGTTCAGACCGTGGGCCCCCCCTGGACGTGGAGAAGAAAGGCTCTGACCAGGCCTAAGGGTGGGGAAGGAGGCCAAATCCTGAAGTGATCACTGATTCTCTGCAGTTTTTTTTTTTAAATTTAAGGAAGTCACTGTTTAAAAGTTTGTAGTCTCTTTCTGAAAGTAAAGAATTCATTCAGTCTCAGTAGAGAGAATAAAAGAGGATTTTAGTCAGGACTCTAGCTACAGGTGCCAGGAGCAATGCAAGTTGCTTAAGCAAAAAAAAAAACAGTTCAGGTATGGATGGGGGCAGGGCACAGAATGGAAGTTCTGCAGGAGCCAGGACAGCAGCGGGACCCGGGTCGGCATCACAGGCTCACCACTGCCAGGAGTCCCTCTGTCAGAGCCCAGTCCCCGAGTCCAAAGAAGGCATCCGGGAATTGGTGGGTGGGGAGGGCTCGGCCTCTCAGGTCTCCTCCAGCGGGAACCTGCCTGCTGGCATCGGGCATCTAGGTTCGGAAATAGAGTTTCAAAGCGTTTTTTGAGTTGTAATGGGTTGGCCACAGAGTGTGGTGTTTGATAACCTAATTATCTTCTCTTAAAAAAAAAAGAATAAGAAGCTACTGCTAATTCATAGAAACGATGACTGGTTTCCTAGAAGAGCACCAGTGAAAGAGCCAGAGAAGCCTTTTTCGTGGTTTCTTTTTCCTTCTCCAGCCCCTCAGAATACTGCATCGTGTTTGATTGTTTGATTCCATAACAGGATGACTGTTTGCAGGCCCCTTATGAGAGCTGTGCGGGGACCTACGTTTCATTTTCACAGGTGGAAGAAAGGGTAACCAGGGCCAGCAGGCAGCATTGGTGCTCTCTGTTCTGCACCAGTGCAAGCGTCTTGGAAGCCAGGCTTTCTCCTCATGGCCCCCGGAGAAGACATCTGGCTTCTTGGGGCTTGCCACTTGGCAGGGGCCGATTCTGAAGTCTGGCGTTTCAGCAAGCATCATGCCACTGATTTGGGACACACCCTGTCCTCGAAACCGAAAATGTGATCATACCTTATATATATAGACTTTGTCTTTTTTTATTATTATTATTATTTTTTTTTTTTTACATTTCAGGTGTTTTTTTTTACAACGGGCATCCAATAAAGCAAGTTGATATCTTGGGAACTGTTATTGGAGTGAGAGAAAAAAACGCTTTCTACAGTTACGGAGGTGAGAACCACAGTGCCTGACGGGTTGCGTGGAAGGGCCCTACTTAGCTGAATGCCGACTGTGAGAAACCCCAGCCTTTCGGAGCTGATCCCGTGCACCTGCCACTACTGAGAGCCCTTTGGGGCCCCCCCACCCCCCCATCCCCCCACCTCTCCACCTCTTGACATGGACTGTGTAAAATGGGGCGAGAGGTAGGAGTGATGCTGATGAATGCCGAGAGGTGACAGCTGCGGGGAAGTTAGGAGGTAGAACGTAAATGCGGCAGTTGAGGATCTTTGGCTGATCAGAGACAGACACCGGATACCTGAGGGCAGGGCTATAAATAGCAAAGGATGGTAATCTATATCTGTATTGATACCTTCAAAAAGAAGAGGCTAGATTAATGTTCAGGTAGACTTAAGAAGGCAGGAAGGTGTGAAAAATAATTGATGAGACTTATATCCAGAAAAGTTTTTTTTAAAATGCCTTTTATTACTCAGAGGGCTAAATACACATTATCAGAAAATTTCACTTTCCTGCTCGTGATGGAAACCAAAGGGTTTCTTTGCATACAAGCGAATGGTTGGAATATGATTTTAGTGTCGAGGGTCTTAATTTTTTTCCTTGAGTTTTAATATAAGCACTTTAGTACATTGCCTTGTGTAGCTCTAAGATCTTTCCTAGCTAAGAAGGCAAGCTAGGTATTTTGTGGGAAGCCTAACTCTGGGTTCCAAAACTTGGCTGTAATTGATGTTGTCACTTTTGGTTGTGTTGCCTTGGATCTGTGTCCTTGCTGTACTTGGAGAGAGACAGAGGCCGCTGAACTAGTGACCAAGGACCTTTCACTGGTAGTCTGTGGATGGCTAAAACTTTGCCGATACGCTACCACTGTGTTCCTTCAACGTGTATTCACTCTCCTGAGGGTGATATAGTCTTGTGCCTATAAGATAGCATGTGAGATGAGCTTCCTTGTACCCTCTGCTTTTCCCAGCATATTTTTTTAAACTCTGAAATAGGTTATCTTGTCAGGCATCCCCTTACTGGATCTCATCTCTGCTTGATTTTACCAAAGGTACTGGTTTTATTTTTCTTCAGGCAATCCAACAAGCAGTCACTAAGTTCCTATATAGCATACCCAGCTGTGGGCAAGTACTTTGGAGTACAATACAGTACTTCTCTCCAAATACCAGTGAAAAAATAATAGTATCTTTCAATTTACAAAGCATTTTTTAAAATCCTCATCTGAGGATATGTTTATTGATTTTAGAGTGGGGGAAGAGGGGGAGAAAGAAAGAAGCATTGATGTGAGAGGGAAACTAATCTGTTGCCTCCAGTACACACCCCCACTGGGGGGGTCAAACCCACAACCTGTGTGTGTGTGTGTGTGTGCGCGTGTGTGCGCGCACACGGAATGATGTCCAACCAACTCAGGCAGTTGGCCAGGGCCTCAATTTACAAAGCATTTTCACATGCATAATTGTATGTTATTCTCCCTCTAACCTTTTGAAATAGAAAGGACAGATATTTCCATTTTATAGATGAGAAAAGTAAGGCTCAGTTAGTTTCTCAAGGTGCCACTGGTGGGTCTGGTGTGTCTGTGGACTCTGGTGTGCTGTGTGCACATACGACTCAGTGTGATTTTTTCTCGCCCATGCTCCTCTGCCCCAACTCAGCGGCATCTGCGTTTTAATTTTCTGTGTTTTGAATGGAATAAATGAGGCTTGATGTTTGAGGACATCAGTCCTGGTGCTAGAACTAGGCTAGATATTATTATGCCTGTGTCCTAAAGGGGCTTCATTTAACCCCTTTCCAATTATAAAAGGTGAAGGCGATATGTGTGAGTCTTCCCCCACAATCACATCCCTTAGAGTGGATGTCGTGAGAGCCTGACACATGTGTGGACTGTGGGAAAACGAAAAGCAGCTGAAGGTGGACATAATTGAGAACAGAAACACTTTTGCAGCGTTCACTCATGTGAGCCTGGCCAAGGGAGAGCCTCCCTCTCCCTGCTGTGCTCAGGCCCAGCTGGGTTCCCGGGCCACCTGCCAGGCAGCAGCCCCTGCTGTCCTGGGTCCTGCTCCGCCTGAGGCACTGCAGGCCTGTGCCGGGGGTGCTTCCTGCTCACACCGACCCGTCCCACCGCTGAAACAAAAGGCTGGCAGCTCAGGCGGTACTGCCCTGCTGGAAATGACCTGGCGCAGCTCTGCAAGGATGCTCCCCTTCCGGGGCATTCCAGGAGCCAGACGTCGGGGCGCCAGGAGGGGGTCTGCCTGAGGAGGTGACAAAGCAGGAGGTCAGAGGGGTTAGTGGCTTAGCCCTGAGCGTGCAGAGCGCCTGGCAACAACTCAAGCTCAGACCTAGAGTCCTAGGAGACCACAGTCAAGGTCGGAACAACCTCACATTTTCTAGAACAAATATTCTCCTGCTAACGTTTTTTGACTTTCCATTTTAAATCAAGATTTTAAACTGGCCAGAGAAGTGGTATACCTAGAGGTGTTATACAATTTTTAAAGCTGAAAACATCCTTATTAATTTTTTTGCTTCTTAAAAATTATACTTAACTCATAAAATAAAATTTAAAGCTAGAGAAATGTTCAATAAGTAAATAAAACTCATGTGAAACCCTGTAAATCTGTAGAAAAAAAGTCATTGTTTGAACATCCTTCCTATATTTCTAAGATGATCCTAATATTGAAGAAATATGCCAATTTCCTCATTACTATTGTTTACATTTCTTTCTTCTTAACAGTTCTGAAGTTAGGCATATAGCCCATGTATACATTGAATATGGGGATCCTTCCCCATGCTCCAAAAGAAACTGCTGTTAGCATTTTAATGTCTTAAAATCATTTCTGTCAAAATACAGTATTTAATGTTTTATGTAAATTAGATTATACATAAGATTATATATACAATTTCTGTTTTACAGTGAAGCATGAATATCTTTTAACAGCAATGAACAGTCTTTTTTATAACTTTTTATTATGCTATGCCATTGTAATTTATTTAACCAATTCCATGTTTATAAACATTTAGGCTGTTTTCAACTACCAGTACTGCAAATAATATTATAGCGAATGGCCTTATACAAGATGTATATACCTGTGTATTTGTTGTGTTTTTCTCCTGAAGATAAATTACTGCAAGGAAATGCTAAGTCAAAGGATACACTTTATACATTTTTTAATTTGATACATACTTTCAAATTTGCTTTTTGTAAATTTGATACAGATTTACAATCTCACTAACAACAAGCATATGAGGATGTCAGTATTTTTAATATTTGTCATTCTAGTAGTTGAAGAAATTATTTAAATTTGCTTTTTTTTTTTTGGTAACTAGTGAATTTAGCATGCTCACATATGTTCAGAGGCCATTGTTTAAATATCTTCCATGGATTGCATATTCTTTTTGGGGGGAGGGGTCACTTTTTCTCTGTGGTCTTGGTATTTTCCATGTTCATTTGTATGAGCTCTTTATATATTTAAGACACTAACCCCATCATCTGAAACATTGCTATACAGTATTAGTTTTTAGTTGGTCAAATACATCAGACTTTAAAAAATAAGTTCTGACTTCCAAATCTGCTGAAAGAAGTCTCTCCCCATTGACTGTAAGCCCAAGGTTAAACAGTGTTCACCCAATTTTTTCCTCAGCTTCTTATATTTACCTATACTACACTTAATAAGGTAAAATCCCTCTAGAATTTATTTTAGTGTAAGAAGTCTTGTTCTTGGTTTCAGCTTTCAACAGATGTAAACCAGCAATAAAAAAATGTTTGCTTTATGTTTCTCATATATTATATTTGCTTTTACAACAGTCTAGCTGATGACTTTTAAAAAATCATTAAGCCCACTGGCCCCATGTTTAGCAACCTCTGCTCTGGGTTTGTCAGAAATTAAGCGAAGAGATAACACCCATCATCCTATAGCAAACATCTGCAAATACTTGTATAGTTGTAAATCCAAGTACAATGGGGATTCTTTTAATTTTTTTTTCTTTGCAGTAGGAATAAAATAAGGCAAACCACTATTGTTTGTGTGACCAAGATGTAATGATTTTTTTTTTGGCATTTATATAGGAGAAATATACTACTACTCAATCTCTACTGTAAGGTTGGCAGCCCTGAGAACTCCTTTTTTTTTTAATGTAGCATGTTATGGATGCACTCCTGCTCCCACAGGAATGAGGGGCAGACATATTACCTCATGCAGTTGTAATGATTTTTTATTATGAAAATAAAACTTTGCCCTCTGGTGATGTGCTTCGCTTTCCTTAGAGCCCCTGCGGTGAGAAGGACTGGGCAGAGCTCTTTCAAAGAGAAGCTGAGGCCGAAGCTCGGGACGCTTAGTCTGGGCAGGCCAGCGAGCTGGGGGAGGGCACACGGCGACAGAAGGCTGCGCTCTTCATGCCTCTAACCACAGACCACGTGACGTTCTCTCTCCTGTTGCTGGGTAGGAGAGTGAGGCTGATTTTTCTGTGTTAGCAATCACTGAGATTTTTGCACTTGACTTCCAGAGGGCACCATTTTTAGGAGAGTCATAGACAAGAATCGTAAGTACCCTTGAGGTATAGGGTAAGTGGAATGTTGACTGCATTCCACTGGGCTCATGTATCACTTTGACATTGCACACGAGCAGTTCCCACTGATGCAGGGTGAGAGATTATGTCTAAAGGTGGAAGGAGAATTTACTAAGGGATTTGCTCAACCAGACCATTGGAAAAGGCCATCTTTCAGCACAGCCTAATGCAATCACAATGCGCTAATGCACCAGCAATGCCCAAGTCTCTGGTCTAATCTTTTACATTTCTCTTGCAGTGGATGATAGCACTGGAGTTATAAACTGCATCTGCTGGAAAAAGCTGAATAACACCGAGTCTTCCTCAGGTAATTTGGTTTGCTGTGCTCCTTTGCTTTTTAGCCACCCAGTGGATTTTACTCAAGGGAACTTGTCAGAACAGCTGTAGGCCTGCAGTTTCATATCAACCTGCCCATGAGGTACACTGACCAACTCGCAGCACCGAGCTCTGAGCTTTGGCTTCTCTGCAGGCTGATACTGAAGGGGAGCCGCTTGGTTTTCTTTCTCCCGTTTCCTTGGTGCTCCCTTCCTCCCAAGCCTGCAGGAATATGACTTGGTTGCTAGGAGTTTCAGCCTTTCACTTTTACTATGCCTGTTACTATGCAAGTCAAGATGTGGTAGCTTAATCACCAGTCAGGTCGGAATTCCCTTGCTCAGGGCGTGTCGCTCAACCACAGCAGGTTTTGAAGACTTTTTGTCTTACATGGTTGCCACCAGCTTCTGTGTGGCATTCAGATCCAGATATTCTGAATTCCCTACATGGTCCACAGGTATATCAGCAATTCTAAGACTGATAAGAGGGTAGAGTAGGATTTCTTGAGAGTCAGCCATCGGATAAGATACAAACTGAAAAAGATCTTCAAAATTATGTATTAAACACATTGACTGTAACCGAAACAACATTTAGAATTTCTTGAGTATATTTTATTTATTTACTTTATTTTTTAATCCTCACCCAAGGATATGTTTTTTCATTGATTTTACAGAGAGGAAGGGAGAGGGAGAGAAACATCGATGTGAGAGAGAAGCATTAATGGGTTACCTCCCTTATGTGCCCCAGTCAGGGATCGAACCCGCAGCCTAGATCTGTGCCCTGACTGGGGATCAAACCTGCAACTCTTTGGTGCAGGGGTCAACACTCCAACCAACTGGTGCATCTAGCCAGGGGATGGCTACAGTATTTTAACAGTTAGGTGTTTTGGGTTTTTTTGCGTTGCTTAAGTTAATAATACTAGAAAATATGACGTTTGTGATTATTTTGGTTCTAGAGAAGCTACAGAAAGTGGACAATAGTTTTCCCTCTGTTTTACGGCATACGCAGTATGGCGCCATACACAATGGGGTTACTCAGTACATATTGCCTGCTGTCATAGCTGACATCTGGTGTCTGTCACATGTGATACCTGGTGAGAATGTAATACGTGGAGTGGATTCCTCTTTCCTTCCTCTTCGAATCTCAACCCCCTACTCGACTATACTAACCAGTGGATGCTCCTCTGCTTAATTTTGTGATATATTTACATTTAGAATTTGGCTATTGATTTCACATAACTTTCACATTCCCGTTTCCTAATTTGGGAAAATTTCAATCAATGGCACTGTAGAAGTTTGCTTAGGAAGATTTGTACATTTAAAAAAAATTGAGACAAACAACAGACTTTATGCAGATGTCTCACAGGCAAGAAATAAAACTAAGATGATCTGCTCAGGCTGGTGTGGCTCAGTGGATTGGGTGCTGGCCTGTGGACCGAAAGGTCACTGGTTTGATTCCCAGTCAAGGCACACGCCAGGGTTGCAGGCTGAATCCTGGGTTGGGGGCATGCAAGAGGCAACTGATCAATGCACTGCTCACACATTAATGTTTCTCTCTCTCTCTCCCTCCATTCCCCTCTCTTTGAAAGTAAATAAAATCTTTTAAAATATAATAAAAGATACAACATGAAATTCTTAAAAAAGGACCCCTCTTTAAAAAAATAAATAACCCTATAAGACAATGAGATATTTGAATTTGCATATGTCTAGTGTATTAAAATCATTTGCAGATTTATGGTTGTATTGTCACAGTCTTCATTCAGAAGGTGTAGTTCGAATATGCCTACTTGTTCCATGCCAAGGTTTAGCAAACTTTCTGTACAGAGCCAGATAGTAAATGTAAATGTTTCTGCTTTGTGGGCCACTCGGTCTGCGTGTCAACCCTTCAGCACTGCCTTTGTAACACAGCAACAGTGCTGAAGGGTTGCTTTTATTGGCTGTGTCCCAATAAAACTTTATTTACAAAAACAGGTTGTGGGTGGAACTGACCCATGGAGCGTACATAATTTGCCGACCCCTGTTTTGGACATTCTTTTAATCTTCAGAGTCAACTCTTTTTTTAAAGAAATTATATCATTAGGAATATTATATAACTCTTAATACTTAGTAACTTTTTAGATAAGATTGTAAGATTTAAAAAATATCTCTAACATGAGTAGATGACTGATTGGGTGGATAGACTTAATAGAGAAGAAAAAGGTGTGGGTAAGAGGAGAAAGCTTGGATATGATTCTCACCATGTTGTATAGGAAGTGGTATTTTTTAATTATTTCTGACCAGCCCATTTTAATTTATTTGTCCTCAGTTTTTAAAGCTTTCCACTGGAAAGTAACTAATGAAGACTATTTCTTTTTAAACAAAATTTTAGCTTGAGTCAAAATCGTGTTTCAAAATCATGTTTCAAAATCAGTGGAGGTATAAGAATATGATATTAACTCTTATATATGTCACATGGAATATACCCTTTGGACTTAGCTTATGAGGAGAGTTAAGAAAGCTTGGCCCTTAACATTAGAGTGTTAAAGAGGCTTTATCTTCCAGTGTGGATAGACTGCCTAAAATGAAATTCTGTCAGGCTCCAGCCATCTCATTATATTCATTAAATTATGCAGCTTGAACACCTAGTTTTGGTAGTTTCACGTGCCCTTTAACTGAAAGCTGAGCCCCTCTCTCAGGCCAGCCGCTGGTCTGGCTGTCTCAGCAGAGCCGTGCGAAGCGTTTTATCACCTGTAATGTCTGAATAATGGCAGTGAAACTTAGAAACACGTTAAAAATTCAGCCCAAGTAGATAAGGGGTTGGGGATAGGAACACAGATGGAAAACCTTTTAAAAAGTCACACCTGAGCATTTTCTGGAGAAGCCCAGTGAGCTGAGTGACATTAGTGCAGGCTGTGTCTAGACTCCCGGCTGTGGGTCACCGGGTACACAGAGTCCTCTGCGCTCAGGCAGGTGCTGGTTCCTGTGGTGTAGCAGTAGATGCGTTAAAAGAAAAGTAATGCCTTCGCCCATTAGAAAGCCCCAGTTATCTAAGTTGTATTCCTTTAAAGAGCAGATATTTGACCGAATGAGAGATTCATTTCCTTACAGGAACCCCAGTGCATATATGACAAACGAAAAATAATGCAGTAGCAGGAAATGGAGTAGCATTTAACAAATGTTGTTGGTTTAGGTAGATAACAGTGTTGAAAGGGAGTAACTGCCATCGGTGCCTTGCAGCTTTCATAAAATAACCCAAAGAAGGAAGAGCCGTGTATTTATTCCAGTGAAGACGGGCGTGTGTGTGTTGACTCTCCCCAGTCCCCGTTAAAGCACTGGCAGCTATCATCAGTGACAAGACTGAAAGATGCTTTCCAAACTTTTATGTAACGAAATGAAATGAAAGACAAAAATGCAGTGGAATTGGGAAAGTGGATATAGTACGCCTAACTTGACAAAGTTTCCCTAAAAAGTCTTTCACAAATTAACATAAAGTATTCCAAAGAGGTGGAGAGCTTAAACGTAAAGAATACAGAGGGTACATCATCTTGTGGGTATACAAAAGCAGCCTCTCTGCCAACTTAAAAGCAAAATAAAACACTATGGAATTATTACATATTTTCTTTAAAAAAATTTTTTTTCGGTAGAGAATGAAGTTTTTATTCACTCTCCAAGAAATGAGAGGGGCTAGGTGTGGACAGATATACCAGCCAATTTTCTTTCTTTCTTTTTTTTAATCCTCACCCATGGACATGTTTCCATCGATTTTTATTTATATTTTTAAAGATTTTATTTATTTATTTTTAGAAAGAGGGAAAGGGAGGGAGAAAGAGAGGGAGAGAAACATTGATGTTTGAGAGATTCATCAGTTGGTTGCCTCTCACATGCCCCCAACTGAGGGCCCAGCCTGCAACCCAGGCCTGTGCCCCGACCAGGAATCCAACCAGCGACCCCTCAGTGTGTAGGCTGGTGCTCAGTCCACTGAGCCAAACCAGCAAGCTCTGGGTGCACAGAATGATGCTCCAACTGAGTGACACAGCCAAAGCCATATTTTCTTTTTTAAAGATTTTATTATTCATTTTCAGAGAGGGGGGAAGGGAGGGAGGGAGAAAGAGAAGGAGAGAAATACCAATCAGTTGCCTCTCGAACGTGGCCCTACCTGGGACCAAACCTGCAACCCAGGCAGGTGCACTGACCAGAAATTGAACCGGCGATCTTTCGCTTTGAGGGACAATGCCCAACCAACTGAGCCACGTGGGTGAGAGCATATTTTCTAAGATATTAAAAACTCCGATGACTGAGGCCTGTGTAGGGGCCACAAACATGCACACATAGCTGGCAACACTTTATAAAAAGAGAATAGTTTGATTTTTCTTTTCTGGCAAACATTCCAGCAATATGTAATGAACTGTGGACTTATTTGTACTTTATATCCAATAATCCCCAATGAAAAACAAAATAATTTTGTCCAAATAGCTGGCATTTATTGAATTTATCATGGATCTAGCATTGTACTAAGCTCATGAGGTAAGGGTTAGCTTAGATCATGCATGATGCTTCTGTGTATAAGGTAGACTCTGTTGCTTAAATTTATGGTTCAAAGTGGTATGAGAGAAAGAGAAATATTGATTGGTTAGCTTAGATACCCAGTAAAGATGAGAGGTGAGCAATTAGGGTGTTGAGCACCTAGGAAGGTGAATTGCCTTCCCCATAAACAGAATCACAAACAGAGACTCTCAGGCCCCCTTTCCCCTACTCCAGGCCTCTGTCTCCCTGCAAGGACACTTTAAACTGTTATGGATAGCTATTGCCACCAAACCCAGCTGAACCCTTAGAGAATTCAGCTGAGGACCACATAGAGCCCTTTGACCGAACTGGCTCTGCAGGGCTTCTAGACGTTCCCTTCGCCCTGCTTTTGAATAATTGCAATTAGTGCCTTTTATTCAGTGGAGGATTTCAAAAGGTTATGCAGATTTCCTATAGTAGAACAACTAATCTGAAATAGAATAAATAAATGTATTGTGCAAATTACCTTACAATGTGTTGGAATTGATTATGTTATGCATTTCTCTCTTTTCTTCTCATCTGGCCCTAGCAACTACAGCTGCTCCAAGTGCAAGAGAACTGAGTTTAACTTCACAGCTTAAGAAGCTGCAAGAGTCCATTGAGCAGAGAACAAAGATAGAAATTGGGGACGTCGTCCGGGTCAGAGGTTACATCCGCACGTTCAGAGAAGCACGAGAAATTCATGCCACTTCTTACTGTAAGCACAAGACATTTCTCCCAAATTGGTAGTTATTCTGGGTGTGTATCCAGTAAACTTGTTTAGCTAAAAGTCACACCTCTAAAAAGTTCAAATAAAATGTTTAACTATTTAATGGAGGAAATGATACCTTTTAATGTGCGGGAGGGGGGAGCAGCATTTCTTAAATTTATTTTAAAGAGAGGTAAGCATAAATAAATTGGGAACAAAAACATGATTTATTATGTATAGCTGAAAAAGTTGTTTGGATAACATAGTCCTTTCTAAAGTATTTTGAAGTTAAAAGTGTGAATCCATTTAGGACAGAGTGTTCATATTCTTTAAAATGATGGAGATTTCTTGAGTACCATTACATTTGTTAACTCAAGGAAAACAGCCAATCATGTACATGGCAGCCGTGGGTCGTCCAAGCGATGATGCCCTTGGCACTGCTCTGGCTGGTCGTTGCTTGGGAATTTCTGGGAGGACCCCATTGCCCACCACGGTAGCAGATGAATAGATGAGCTAATGTGCTCTCCCTGGTCCCCGTCCACTCCTGTCCACTCCTGGCCTCTTAAGGGCATCACATCCCCTTTTTGCCCGAAGACTGGGTTCTATTTAATGCATCTAGACTGTGTGATTTTTGGGCACCCACATGGAAGGAGACCTCTGAGAGTCTCAGTGACTGTCACCCCAGCAGCAGCTTGGACATGGGAAAGAACTGAATTCCGTGTAATGTCTGTGGCATGTTTTTCCCCATGGCTTCTTAGGTAAAGTAGATGACCCAGTGTGCAACATTCAAATTGCAAGGATGCTCGAGCTGCCCAGTGTCTACAGGAAAGTTTATGACCAGCCCTTCCGCAGCCGAGCCCTAGAAAAAGAGGCGCTATGGTAAGCTATGGCCAGTCACTGCTGAAGATGTGACCACTGCAGGAAGGCCAAGCCGGGCGAGGGAGGGAGCCCAGATGCTGGGGTGGCCCCGGGTTCAAATCCCAACCCATCATTCTGTTCACTGTGAGGCTGTAAGGTTGTTAGGAGGAAAATACATGTGTAACGGGGGTCCCTGAAGGAGTAGGGGGAACAGAGAGAAAATATTTGAAGAAATAATGGCTGATTTTTCCAAGTGTGGTGAAAACTATAAATTTACAGATCCAAGAAGCCCAATGAGCCCCAAGGCAGGAAACCTGAAGAAAATTGCACCAAGGTGCATTCTAATCGAATGACCTCATGACACGTCATAATGAAAAACCACAAAACGTAATGCCGGTCATTCTCAACTGGAGCTGACTTTACTCTTGTGGGGTGCAGGGGGCGCAGGGGAGAGGAAAGCAGGAGGAAAAGGAATGCGTGCGCATTTTCTCATACACACCAAAAAGGAACAGAGGTGGTACTTTCCTACAAGGCTTCTTAAAACTTTCCCCAGTAAAAATCCAGGTGCCCTGGACCTTGCCAATCTCACGTGTTTGCTGAGTGAAAAAGCTAAAGAATTCCTCGTGAGGAACAGAGTGCAGACCTTTTACCAGCAGGAGTTGGAAATGGTGGAGTCCCTGCTGTCCCTGGCCAACCAGCCCGTGATTCGCAGCACCTGCCCCGAGCGAGTAAGTGCGCAGGCCCGTATACGAGTTCAGTCCCCTGCCCCAGACCTACAGCTGAAGGGCGTGGGTGAGTTATGAAGACTCACAGGGCGGACTGAGGGTGTAGAGGCTATGGTTCTATTCCATATTCTGGGAAGGTCACTGATTAAGCTTAATCTTCGGGTTGGAAAAATATATGATAGTCTGAGCTTCATAGAACTCAGTTCTTAGTACTCCCTAATGTGGGCACTTAGTGTCGGCGGGTGCCAAATATGGGGGAAGTAGGCAAGAAGAGGTAATTATCCTTCCAAGATTATTGAACTTGAACCAAGGCTTTTACTGACTTGCTGTCTCCTCAGAATAAAGTTAACCTATCATATTTTAGGAGTTTGAATAAAGACCAATTATTTCCCTTCTGGTTTAAAAGTAGGAATTTCAAGGAACACTTTAAGTTACTTTTATTTCACCTAGGAAGAGCTGTCCCCTTTTTCTCACCCCTAGTGTTGGTGAACTTACCCCGACTGGGGTGACTCAGCTGGGCGTCATCCCTCGGAGCAAAAGGTCTTGGGTTGATTTCCAGTCAGGGCACATGCTCAGGTTGCGGGCTTGGTCCCCATTCGGGGCGTGTGCAAGAGATATCCAGTCCATGTTGCTCTCTCACATCAACGTTTCTCTCCCTCTCTTTCTCCCTCCCTTCTCTTCTCTCTAAAAACAAATGGATAAAATCTTTTTGTTTTTAAAGGTGAACAACATAGTTTGGTGTTGCCATATTTGCTTGGAATTAAGAATTATTTGAGACTTTGGAGTTAGGCTTTCCCTTTCATTGCAATTCTTATATTTTTTGTTGTTGTAACATGACTTGTGTTTTTATTCATTTCATTTATTCCGCCAGAGGATAATCTCTGCTTAGATGTCATCTTATTGCACCCCCACCATCGGCTCTGATAGCCACTTGCTTCCTCACGGTGTTGTCGCCCTGTTTTGGTATTGCGTGTATCACTGTGTGTATCACTGTGTGTGTTGGTTGGTCCGCCCAGTCCTCCCCCAGAGTCTGCTCTCCACAAGCAGAGGCCTCACCTCTCTTACTCTCTGTTCTCTAGAACCAGGGCCTAGAACTGGTCCACCATAAAGTAGGTTTTTGATCATTATTAGTTGACTACAGAATGAATGGTTTTTAAAAATTCGAATGGTCCCTGAAAGCATCTAGTTAAAAGTATGTTTCCCCCCATCCCTTCTGCAGAGACCAGCACTGTTACTGGTGCTATGGAAATCCACTTGGAGATGTCCGTGCACGTATGAACTAGAAGTAGTTGTGCGCCCCCTTTTCTTGTACACAAGTGGTACCATGCTAAACACTAGTCCGTCCCTAGCTTTTCACTGAACTGTGTCTTATCCTTTCCTTGCCACACAGAGATTTGCCACTGTACAGTAATCTTCTGTTACTCGTTCCGTAGTTTGTATGGCCTGCCTCTCCTTTCCTGGGCTGTTCAGATGTTTTCCAGGTTTTTTGCCATTACCAGCAGGGCTGCTCCGAATTCCCTTGTTAGGAACAGAAGTTAGTGTTCATGATTCTGGGAGAACAGATCCCAGGCCCTCCCATCCAACTTCCCAGGCATGACCCCTGCTTCTCAGTTTCATTCATTCATGGACCTAATTACCTCTTCCTGGCACCAGGCTGTGTGTCCAGTGACCCATAATTTCATACACAGAGATGAGGGATATTGTTTCAGGAAACACCAAGACAGGGAGGGTCATGACTGCCTGCTTTGTCCTGTGTCATTGTTGCTTCTAACTGGTTGTGGCTTTCCAGCTGTCCCCTGGCAGCGAGGTTGACCTTTCTCCATTTAATCATTTAGAGAGGGCTCAGTGCCAAGTTGGCCTTCTCGGACTTCTGACCACTCTGTTGGCATGTTTGGAAGGAAACACTGAAGTCTAGGGAAGACCATGTTCTTCCCGTGAACCAGCTCTTCGGGGAGGGCTCTAATTAAGTAGAGAGACTCGAGGTCTCCGAAGACGACAAGGCTCCTCCATTCAAAACAATCCATGGAGAACTTTGGCCATGGTTTCTTTTGGAAAATGCTTAGAGGAGAAACCTGCGTCTGCCCAGTGCTGCATGTTTAAAAAGAAATGAATGTGGCACTTTGTTCTGTCTTTGGAAACTGTTTTTCCATCAATTATGAATTGCACCCTCCCATGGCTCTGCTTGGTGAGGTCATTGTCATTCAATTGAGTCCTGCTTAATTGAGCCTGGGAGAGTAAGGATGCTTTACAATGCTGGTGAAACTCTAGATCCAGTTCGGTTTGTGTTGCCGCACAGATGAAAGCTCCACAGAAAATCCTGGGATGGTGTTAGAGCTGATAGGCAGAGGGAGAGTGGGTTTGAATGTTTTCCCCTTTCTTTTTTTTTTTTCCATTGGGGCCCTTCATAGCAAATCGAGAAACCTGATAAGCAGGCCTTGCAAAACCATTGTTTGTTTGACAGCTGGATAAATGTTGAGTTTGTTTGGGAATGAAGACTATATATATTTCAGAGATCCACCCAGTTCCTGACCTGCAACAAGGAGAGGCCTGCTAAGGCTCAGCACGTCCAGCCAGTCAGTTCTTTCCTCTGAGCAGTTTCAGTTTCCTGAATCGGATGAGTCTGTCATTGCTCTTTAGAAAAAGACAAAGACACAAATCCCAGGCCAGGAAAAGCTGCTGGCGAAGAAGAGAAGATTGGAGGTTTTACCCTTTGAGACTGTGTCTTTGTAACAACAGGGTGATGTGTCTTGAGGTCAGCTGAGGCAAACGTTCCTGGCGAGGAAGCTTCCTCGCATGTTGTTTATGTTGACAGCCTTCTCTGCTGGGTCCTCCTTGTTCACAGCTGAAACCGCACTAAAAGCTCGCAGGCCTGCCCGCTCTCTTCCTGCTGCTTGATCTCACTGAAATCTGGGAGGAGGAACAGGGCTTTATGTCTATGGAGAGCCGAGAGTCTTTTTTAATGACAGGAATAGTTATGTAACAAGATTTCTAGTTAGTTTCCAGTTCAGTTCTATCTTAATAGAGATGTAATACTACCTCAACCCCTAGGATCCTTATATTAAACTGACTGAAGAAACCGAATCTCCTTCGAAGTATGAAGTTAAGTATAATGTTTTGTGGGAGAGCCTATATTGGGTTGCATTTCCCCTAAGTAAAAGAACACATATAAAGTTAAAAACAGCTTTGTCGGAAGCCCCCCTGAATAAGAAGACGTCTGACTGAGGATTGCTAGAGAAGGTGTTTATTCTGAACTGACCCAGGTAACTTTTCTGCCTATGGGAGTCACCAAATATTTCTGGGCCTTATTCTCCCTTCAGAGAGTGGGTGCTATCGTAACCTGGAATGTTTGTCGATTTTTACGCTCTAATGTTTTAATGGCCATGTTCTCCAGCTTGTTCTGTTAAGGAAAAACTTGGACTATAATTTAAGAATCTTAGACTCTGCTCTTCAACCCAGGAGAGCACGTTTGGGAGACATCGCAGGGATCTATTACAGTAAAACAGTGTCTGTTTGGGGGGCCTCTCTGGGAAAGGGAAGGTTTCTTTAGGGATGGTATTGTCAGCCCTTGAGGCCACAGGAGTTTCTTTCCTTTGAGTATCACTTGGAGGAAGTGGCAACATCAACTCTCGAGTGCATTGTCTTTTTCAGCATCCCTGGGCACTGGCCCCAAGAGCCTTCATAGGTACCTTTCACTGGAGGGAGGACTTGGCCTTCAGACACTGTTTTGGACGCTTAGCCACGTTTCTTCAGCACTCTGATCTTTTTTTTTTTTTTTAATTTTTATTTTATTGATTATGCCATTACAGTTGTTCTGTTCCCCCCTTCATTCCCCTCCACTCTGCACCCCCACCGCCCCCACCATTCCCCCCTTTAGTTTATGACCATGTGTCTCAAGTTATTTAGATTCTATATTTCCCATACTATTCTTGCCCGCCCCCCTATCTATTTTCTATCTACTGTCTGTGCTACTTATTTTCTGTACCTTCTCCCCCTTTCTCCTTCTCCCACTCCCCTGTTGCTAACCCTCCATGAGATCTTCATTTCTGTTTCCACTCCTGATCTAGCTGTCCTCTTAGTTTGCTTTTGTTTTAGGTGTGGTTGTTAATAACTGTGAGTTTGCTGTCCTTCCACTGTTCATCTTTTTTATCTTCTTTTTCTTAGATAAGTCCCTTTAACATTTCATATAATAAGGGCTTGGTGATGATGAACTCCTCAAACTTGACCTTATCTGAGAAGCACTTTATCTGCCCTTCCATTCTAAATGAAAGTTTTGCTGGATAGAGCAATCTTGGATGTAGGTCTTTGGTTTTCATGACTTGGAATACCTCTTTCCAGCCCCTTCTTCCCTGTAAGGTCTCTTTTGAGAAATCCACTGATGGTCTGATGGGAACTCCTTTGTAGGTGACTGTCCCCTTAGCTCTTGCTGCTTCTAGGATTCTCTCCTTCATTTTAATCTTGGCTAATGTAATGATGATGTGCCTTGGTGTGTTCCTTCTTGGGTCCAACTTCTTTGGGACTCTCTGAGCTTCCTGGATTTCCTGGAAGTCTATTTCCTTTGCCAGATTGGGGAAATTCTCCTTTATTATTTGTTCAAATAAGTTTTCCACTGGTGGCTGTTCCTTTCCCCCTTTTGGTACCCCTATAATTCGGATGTTGGAGCGTTTAAAGATGTCCTGGAGGTTCCTAAGTCTCTCCTCATTTTTTTGAATTCTTGTTTCTTCATTCTTTTCTGGTTGGTCATTTTTATCTTCTTTCTGGTCCACTCCATTGATTTGAGTCCCAGTTTCCTTTTCATTACTATTGGTTTCCTGTGCATTGCCATTCATTTCAATTAGTTTAGCCTTCATATGTTCCTCTAATTTGTGACTAAAATCAACCAGTTCTGTGAGCATCCTGATCACCAGTGTTTTGAACTGTGCATCTGAAAGTTTTGCTATTTCTTCGTCACTTAGATTTATGGGCGCTGGGGCTTTGAGATCTTGAGCCATTTTTGGTCTGTTTGTGCCCATTAAGTATGAGGAGCGGAGCCTTAGGGGTAGGGCGGGGCCTCCAGGGCGGGGTCACTGGGTTGTGAGCTGTATGTGGGGGCGGGGTCAGAGCTGGGAAATGGCGGCTGTCTCTGTTGCCTCCCCTCGCTGGGATCCTTTAGGTCCCGTCTCACTGCCCACTCCCTTGCCAGCCTGTCTGCGCAGGAATGCGCCAGCACAGTCAACCCGCCGCCCTGCACCCTCACTGGATCCTGCTGGTCGCTCACTGGGTCCGCCCTTTGCAACCCCACGCCTGGGATCTGCGTACCTGTCCGTCTGACCGAGTTTTCCTTTGCAACCCCGCTTCACCAGTTGCTGGTTTCGCCCCTCTTACCGGTCAGGCTGAAGAATTCATTGTTATCGGACTTCCGAAAAGTTCAATTTTCTGTGTTCTGGCTGTGTTTTCTGTTGCTAATACTTTGTTGTCTCTAAACTTGGTTGTGTGAGAAAGCACGGCGTCTCCACCTATGCCTCCATCTTGGCGGAAGTCAACACTGATCTTCTTACTGTATTGACAGATTTCTCTCACATTAAAATGGATCTGCGCCTTGAGGGACAATTATTGTTCAGCACTTTCTTTGTTTGAGGAATCAAATGAAAATCCTTAGTGGAATATAGAGGACATGGCCTCTAAAATACTCCCATTGATTACACAGATGTTTTATTGATCACCCTCTGTTGTGCCAGGGAGAAGGAGGCCGAGATGAAATGCAGAGTCCCCAGCTGCAGAACCAGAGTCTAGTTAACCACGGGTCAGAGCCGAACGCCTAGCTTCCTTGGGAGGAAGAAGCAGGATGGCCCGGCAAGCTCTGCGGGCAGCCCTGTCTCTTAGAGAAGAAAGGAAACACTGAAACTGAGGAGACAGCAAACTGACTGACGGCCACTGAGGCCCCTTCCCCGTGATGGCCTTGCCTCACTCGGGGACCCCTGTCCGTCTTTGGCCCACACACCCGCCTTTGATGGGTTTCTGCAGAACCCATCTACTTGCCACCGTCGTTCTCCAGTTAAAATAAGGAGACAATTTACTACTTTCTACATGCTGGAGTCCCCAACTTATTTCAGTGTGTGTGAAATTCTTTAAAATCCTTGGGGAGAGATTGTATATAGCCACGATTTTCATGGGGGGAAGAAGAAACAGCTAATATGTATACAGTGTTTCAATTCTGTGTGGAAAAAATTTAAATTGTCCTTTTGAGTTTTCCACTTTATATCCTTGAATTAAACAAACAGTCATCACTGAGGTGTGAACAGTTACCGGGCATGATCCTGCCGGAGCAAACTTCCCAGTCATCCTTCACTGCCATCCTGCTGGGCCTCCGTGTACCTGGGTCTGTGACTCAGCAGGCGGAAAGCCTGTTGGGCGGATTCACAAACCAGTTCGTCCAGGGAGTCGCTGACAGGTGCTATAAGATGGGGCTCACTTTTTTTTCTGCCTTTTCCTTCCCACAGGCAGATTTTAAGAATGACACCACTTCCAAGGCAATTCATAGCATATTTAAGAGTGCTATAAAGCTCCTGCAGGAGAAAGGATTCATTTACCAGAAGGACGGCAGTTTTGATAACCTCTTCTATGTAAGAGACTTGCAACTTAATGTTTTCCTTCTTGGCTTCAATTACAAATATAAGTGTTATTTAAAAATGCCTATTTACTGTTTTTAAAAATCAATCATTAAAGAGGTATATAAAGTAAGGAACCCTAAGGTACTACTTTTGATAGCACTCTGTAAACATCTGTGCGTTCAGACACTTGTGCATTTACAAATACAGGTTGCTTTGGCTTTTTTTTTTTGCTGTACAAAAAATATGATCATTCTCTCAGTCGGGGTTTCTCAACCCCAGCACTGTCTGGGCTGGATGGTTCTTTGTCATGGGGGCCTTTGCATTGCAGGTTGGCTAGCAGCATCCCTGATCTTCATCCTCTTGGTGCCACTAGCAGCTCTCAGGTTGTGGCAACCAAAACTGTCCCCAGACATTGCTAAGTGTCTTTAGGGACAGTTAAGAACCACTGCTCTAAATGATGCTCAGCCACTTTTTTAAAAAAGATTTTACTTGTTTATTTTTAGACAGAGGGGGAGGGAGGGAGAGAGAGGGTGAGAAACTTCAATGTGTGGTTGCCTCTTGCATACCCCCTACTGGCGACCTGGCCTGCAACCCTGGCCTGGGCCCTGACTGAGAGTCCAACTGGTGACCCTCTGGTTCATAGGCCGGCACTCAGTCCACTGAGCCACAGCAGCCAGGACTCAGCAACTTTTTTTGACACCAAAATAGCACATTGCACCATCTTTCCATGTTAGTACTTAGAAATTGACCTCATTCTTTTTTACTTCTGCATAGCATTCCATGTTACGGGAACTTGCCATCAGTATTTTAACCTCTCATCTCTGATGTGGTGTTTCCAACTTTTGCTCTCACAAATACTGCTGCTGTGGCTATTTTTGCCCAACTATTTGTGTGAACTTGTGTGTTTCTGTAAGGTTGACTCTTAGGAACTACTGGAGCAAAGGCATGCACCTCCAAGCTTTTGGTCAGCACCGTCTGATGGGCCGCCCAGAAGCTTGTACTGCTTGACGTTCTCACCAGGGGTACCAGTGCTTGCTTTTCTAATACTTTCAGGGTTAAAGGTTCACCTTTCACTGCCTACCTTTAATATCAGGGGAGCCAGGCTGCAGTCAGGCCCCCTCATGACCACTGATATCAGCAACGCAGGTGTGGCCTCAGCTGCAGGTGACAGACCTGGAGACAGATCAAAACTCGGAGGCATGCCGGGAGTCTCACTATTTACAGGTGTGATTCTTGAGGGGAAGCTTTCCTTGATAGGACATTTTCTTGATATCAATTTACTCTAGTGATGCCCCATTTTAGAGCATTTAAAAAAATTAAAACCTGTTTTAAATACTATTTGAACAGCCTTAGAACAGAGTATTCCAATCTGTAGAAGGCTGAGTGCAGGCCTCTCCATCCCGGGATGGGAAGGCCAGCTGGGAGTGGGTTGCAGAAGCTCATGGCGGGCAGCTCACCTTAGCAGCCCCCAACCTGTCCCCACCCCACACCCAGTCACATTGCCCCTGGGAGGCTCTGGGGTCAGCCAGCCGAATCTGTCGAAAGCAGCTTGTCCCGAGGAGCAGCAGGACCACGGGCAGCAGTTGTGGCCGAGGTGTGGCAGGGCTGGGGCACTTCCTCCTGTGAGTCAGTGTGAGCTGGAGTGGGGTGACCGAGCAGCCGTTGCTCTCTCCCCGGTGGAACCACCCCACTTCCCTGACTTCATTCTTCCCCTTTCAACATAGCCGGCTGGCCTCCGTGGAGTAGTTATCACCTGATGTAGACACTCCTGCTGGTAGCGTGCTCTCCTGCCTTTGGCAGCGTCGCCCCCATCACCGCATGTAATCTTCACACAGTCTTGTGAAAAGGCAGACGTGGTCTGTGTCCCCATCCTTAAGTCTGGTCACTCTGTAAGTCCCATCAAACGAGCACCCCTGATAGGCAGGGTGCAGCAAAAGTAAGGTTGCAGGTGTGAGTACGCAAAGCACAGTTTCTTCTTTTTTTTAAATCCTCACGTGAGGATGTTTTTATTGATTTTAGAGAGAGAGGAAGGAGGGGAGAGAGAAACATAAATGTGAGGGAGAAACATCAATTGGTTGCCTCCCGTACACACCCCGACCAGGGATTGAACTCGCAGCCGTAATGTGTACAGGACGATGTTCCAACCACCGGAGCCACCCAGCCAGGGGAACACGTTCCTGTATTATTTATTATTATTACTCCACGCGAACAACTTGTAAACCTCCTTTTGCCCCACCCTGCATGTGTTTGTTTGCATGCTTTTTCTTTGTCCTTTCTTCCTCTTTCCCCTTTCTATTTTTTGTTTGTTTTGTTACTAGATTTACTACTGAACATGAAGGGGGACCCATTTGGCTGCCACTGTCCCCTTACCTGAGCTGGCTGGGAAAGGAACTGGATTAGGTTTGCCTTTGGAAACAGAAAGTGTCTCAAGGGATAGGCTAGATTTATCCCCTTGCTAGCTTTTCCTTACAGTTGTAGTTCTTTTGCTTTTCCTTGCCATTAGAAAAGGGAGTAAAACTGATGAAACACGAGGCAGGTGGCAGCGCCCGGAGGAAAGAGTCCTGGGGTTGAGATCAGAGCCTTCGGTCACTTGTGCCTCCCTCGAGAATATAACAACTAAGAGAAAGTTTATGAGTGTGTTATGAGTATTTAAGAAGAAAGCTGCCCTGGCTGCCGTGGCTCAGTGGATTGAGTGCAAAGGGACGCTGGTTCAATGCCCAGTCAGGGCACAGGCCTGGGTTGCAGGCCAGGTCCCCAGTTAAAGACATGCTAGAGGCAACCACACATTGATGTTTCTCTCCCCCTCTTTCTCCATCCCTTCCCCTTTCTCTGGAAATAAATAAATAAAATCGAAGAAGAAGAAAGCTGCTCCTTTAAAGTATTCTTGTTTCTCTTTGCATCATGGCCTCAGTGGACCAGCCCCGGAAGGGTCCCTCTGGGTCAGTGACAAAGCAGTGAGCTGCCGAGTGTGAGAACTGGTGTGACAATAGGCCCAGTGTTGAAAACTGTGTTGTGCCCTGGCTGCTGTGGCTCAGTGGATTGAGTGCTGGCCTCTGAACCAAAGGGACGCTGGTTCAATGCCCAGTCAGGGCACAGGCCTGGGTTGCAGGCCAGGTCCCCAGTTGAAGACATGCTAGAGGCAATCACACATTGATGTTTCTCTCCCTCTCTTTCTCCTTCCCTTCCTATCTCTCTAAAGATAAATAGATACAAGCTTTAAAAAAGAGGGGAAAAAAGCGTGTTGTTGGTGTCAGGATGATGATTGTATGAAGTCTGTAGAAACTGTCTCAAGTACTGAGTTGGGAGTCTGGATGATACAACCTCTGTGTTACTGAAGAACACTTTCTCTCCAAACTCCTTTTGCTGTTTAGGTAACCAGAGAAGACAGAGAACTACACAGAAAGATCCACCGCATCATTCAAGAAGACTGCCAGAAACCCAACCGTAAGTGGCGTCACGTAGGTGTGTCCTGATGTGCTGGAAGGGAAGGCTCCCCCCCCAGAGAGCTCTGGGTGGAGAGCGAGGAGACTGGGGCTCTCCCCAGTAGCGACGTGGAAGTGTGATGGTCAAGGCCTCTGCCCCCTCAGAGTCTCGGGTTCTTCCTCTGTAAAGTGAGTGTTAGGGTGGCACAGTTGTCCTGACCTTGGCTGCATGTAAAAACCAGCTGTGGAGATTTTTTGAACATATGGTGCTCAAACCCCACTCCTGGGGATTCTGATTCACGAGGAGTGGGGTGGGGCGTGACGGCTGAGCTCCTTGGGTGGTCCCCATCCAGCAAGGCAAGCCACGGAGCCAGGACCTTCTGATGTCCTTCTGGTTGTAATGTTCTCTCTGGTCTGCGTTATTTCTTGTCCTATTCTTGCTCTTTGTCTTTGAACCCAAACCTGAAATTTTCCACTCTTTTCACTTCATGCCCTTCAGTGTTGGGAGGAATGGTTCTAGACATTACAGCGTATGAACACTATAATTCAGTCATCCTGAAACCTAGTAATTTGCAAAAGTGGTTTAGGAAATAGTTGGTTTTCGTGGAGTTAGGTCAGCCCCTAGTGGTTAGAAACTCAAACTGTAGATAGTCTGACAGCAGACATTACTGCCTTCATACTAGTTAAAAAGAGAAGAAAGTATCAGTCCTAGCTTTAAATCCTTTAAAAACTCATCAGTCTTAAAGGTGACTTTTCAAAATCTATCTTCTGCAAATATCTGCTCGTAACAAATGTTGGCGTACGTCAACAAACGAGACTGGAAGAAAAGTGAAAAGGCTGGTTAATGACGCGGGTCTCCTTCACTCTGCATCCTTCCCTCCAGAGAAGTCCCCTTCCAGTCCCTTTAGCCCCTGTGCCCCTGGGGCCTGAACCTCTTCCAGGCTGAGCCACTGGGTAGAGCTGGACCAGGTCTCTGGCCCTGGTGTTTGATATGCAGCCCAATTTAGCCTTTAAGAACCTGTGAGGTCAGAGCCCAGAGTCGCATGATGACAGATCTTAAAATAAACTTACAGCAACCAGTTATCTGACTGCAAGGTTTCTGGCTGTTGTTCACTGCATTCAGAGCAATAAGAACAAGTATCCTTTAGCTGGGGGTGGGGGAGTCCTCCATCCACACTTTAAGGACCTTTTAAGAGCAGTGGAATGTGGGCTTTCTTACCCAAGAAAGGGTGAGGCTGTCCCTATGCAACATCCCTGCACTCACCCTAGTTCCAGATTCTTATTTTGATCTGTGTGAGGAACAGGATGGATTGAAATAATCCCAGGGCCTGGTACAGCAAATGAAAGGAATTTGCACTTTATTTCTTAGGAGAGCCCAATAGCCTCAGTGACTTGTGGGTGTGTGAAGTGGCATATTTTATGTCCATTTCTAACCCACAGGCCAGCTCCTGCTTTGGTGAATGTTGTGTCAGGGTAGACAGTCTCTGTTCCTCAGTCTGTAAGTGGGAGCCTCCAAACCAGTTGCCCAGAGCTGGTAAGGTCCCAGGAGCTGAATCCTGGAGCTGGAGCAACTGAGAAGGCCAGTGAAAATACTCTGTAGAGACTGTCAGGGAGTCTCCTGCAACTACTGCTTTTCACAGGAAATATCTATGACATTAAAAAGATTATTCTGAATAATAATGTATGCACATGATAGAAAGTCAAACAGTACAAAAATACACACAGAAAAGCCAGACTTCCTCCCAGCACCGAGACCAAAGGTTTGCATTCCCCTTGCCAAAGGCAGTAGTTGTTCCTGGCTTCCTGTATACCCTTCTAGGGGTGTGTATACACACCTGTAAGTATGTTTGTATAGCTCACCCTTTTTAAAAGGACAAGTAAATGTTAGCATACAATACTCAGTGTTCTATACCTTGTATTTTATTTTATTATTTATTTATTTTTAGTTATTTTTTAGAGATTTTATTTATTTATCTTTAGAGAGGGGAAGGGAAGGAGAAAGAGAGGGAGAGAAATATTAATGTATGGTGGCCTGTCGAGCGCCTCCTACTGGGGACCTAGCCTGCAACCCAGGCATATGCACTGACTGGGAATCAAACCAGCAATGCTTTCATTTGTAGCCTGCGCTCAACCCACTGAACTACACCAGCCAGGGCTACACCTTGTGTTTTACATTGAACATTGGCTTCTAGAGGTCATTTGGCAGCAGTACATATGAAAGTGTCTTTGTCCTTTTAATAGCTGCACAGCATTCCATTAAATATATAAATAGATATTTGACCATTTATTTAACCATTCCTCCTAGACCTTTTGTTCATTACTACCATTTCACACAAGATAGAGCATTGATTTTTTCCTTGTCGGGATGATTAGTGAGAACTTAAAATCTTTATAGTCATTTATGAGGATTTTAGCAGAAGTTAAACCTATAATAATAAAAGGACTGTAAACATGAGGCTTGTTTCAGGTTCCTAAAGCATCAGTACTGGGTTTATCTAAAGATGGGCAGCATAGCGTAGTCGTAAGGAGCTGGGCTGTGGAGCTACCTTGCCTGGGTTTGAATCCCAGCTCTGCCACTTTGCAGCTGTGTGACTGTGGGTTAGGCTATGCCTCAGTTTCTTAATGTGTAAAATGGGGATAACATTGCCTACATGATAGATTGTTATGAGGGTTAAATAAATGGGTATTTTATAAAACTACTGTGAAATTGGTAGAGTAGGAAGCACTAGGAATCTGTCCACTCAGGCAACAGTTGCATCTGACTGATGGAACTACTTTGGAACTCTAAAGGCTACTGAAGGTTTCCAACTTCCAAATGACAGTACATTGGTGTTCATTTCAGTCCTTGCTCACCTCTTGGTAACCCATCCCTCACCCCAGCTACGTAGCGGACAGCCGTGCATTTGTTCCCGGAGGAGCTTGCAGGAGCTGGGGCAGGCAAACGAGCCTGTCCTCAAAACATAAGGGACGTGTGCTCCTTGTTGCTTCTGAATATAGAGGGACAGGTAAAGAGGCAGGTGGCCATTGTGTCATTTCGTCCCAATGTTGCGAGCCCCTCCCTCAACATCTGAAGTAACTTAAGGGGAAGTACTGGTGCCCCCACCCCTATTTTTTAATGCCCCCTTATTTCCCTTTTCTCCCCTTTTTGGGAACCAAAAAAGAAAGACTTATGCATTCAAAGGCTACTGAATATATGAGGGAAATCAGAAAGTGACCACACACGCCCAGAGAAAGACACAGGCTCAGAAAAGACCTGAAAAGACCTTAAGTTTTACACCTCAGTCAGATCCTTGGCACAGAGATAATAATAACAATAATAATAACAGACAACAGCAAACCCTGGGTTAGGGAGAGAATCTGCTCTCCAAAGTTGCCACGTGGCTAGATTCAAATGTCTAGTTTTCAACTAAGAATCACAAGGTATACAAATAAACAGGAAAGTATTACCCATTGAAAAGAAAAAAATACATATGTATACATATTGGCAGAAAGTGCCCCTGAAAAGAACCTACTGGCAGATATACTGGACAAAGAGTTTAAAATAACTGTCTTAAAGATGCTCAGAGAACTGAAGGAAGATGTGGGAAAAGTGTAGAAAATGGCTGAACAAAATAGAAACATAAAGATAGAAAACCTGAAAATATAGGTCTATCTGAGAAAAGTCCAGCTATTGTTAATATAATGAGAATGATTTGCGCAACATTGATGTAATCTGGCAGCCAAGCAGAGTGGACTGGAACACACATGGGTGAATACTGACAACTTCACTGCACTAGTCAGTGGGAACGATAAACACCATCAAGTGAGCATGTATGCTCTGTGGCTGTCACATTCAAAACAACTGAGCAAGTAGAGCAATGGATCTGCAATACATTTTCGTTAAGCTTGAACATTCCTCCATGGAAACTAATCAGATGATTGAGAAGGCTACAGCTCTGGGTAGCTGGTGATGGGCAGCTTCATCATGACAACACACCCACTCATGCATCACATCTGGCGTAGAGTTTTTTGGTGAAACATCAAATCACTCAAGTGACTCAGCCCCTCTATAGCTCAGGTTTGGGACTGTGTCACTTCTGGCTTTTCCCAAAACTAAAATCACCTTTGAAAGGGAATAGATTTCAGGCAATTGATGAGATTCAGGAAAATAGAACAGATGGCAACTGGGAGAACTGTGTGAGGTCTCAAGGTGCCTACCTTGAAGGGGACTGAGATTTCATTGTCCTATGTACAATGTTTCTTGTATCTTGTATGTTCATCAATAAATGTATCTATTTTTCATATCACTTGGGGGGTTACCTTCTGTACAGACCTTGCATATAAAAATTTGGAGCTGAAAAGTACAGTAACTTAAATGAAGAATTTCCTACAGTGATTCAAAGGCAGATTTTGACAGGCAGAAGAAAGCACTGGCAAACTTGCAGTTGAAGAGGAGTGAACAGAGCCTAAGGGACGCATGGGATACCATGGAGTGGACCATCATATGCATTGTGTGAGTCCCAGAAGGTGAAGAGAGAAAGGGGCAGAGAGAATGTTTGAAGAAATAATGGCTGAAAACTTTCCTAAGGTGATGAAAGACATGAATATAAATATCCAAAAACTTTAATAAACTCCAAGTAAGATGAACTCAAAAGAGACCACACCAAGACACATTGTAATCAGACTTTTAAAAGACAAGGAGTGAATCTTGAAAGCAGCAAGAGAGAAGCAACTTGTTACATACAAGGGATCATTAGTAAGGTTATCAGCAGCTTTCTCAGAAACTTTGGAGGCCTGAGGCAGTAGGCTGATATATAGTCAGCGCTAGAGAAAAACTGTAAACCAAGATCCTATATCCAGAAAAACTGCCCTTCAGTGGTAAAGGAGAAATCAAGACATTCCATGATAAATAAAAGCTGAGGGAGTTTGTTACCACTACACCTGCTCTGCAGGACATACTCAGAGGAAAGAGCCCAGCAAGGTGAGATTAAAAGGCATTAGACAGTAACTTGAACCCATATGAAGAAAAAAAGATTTCAATAAAGGAAATACTTGGGCAATTAGAAAAGCCAATATTGTCATAACTGGTTGGTAAGTCCATTTTTTGTTCTCTACATAATTTTAGAGACTAATACACTTTTTAACAACAAAAAGCAAGTACTAGTCTAAACATTTATATTATTTTAACTTTGGTTTGTAACTCCACAGTTTTTCCACATAATTTAAGAGATTAGTACATTTAAAAGAATTGTTAGTTTATGTTCCTAGGCTCACAATGTGTAAAAATGTCATTTTGTGACATCAGCTGAAAGGGGTAGGGACCGAGCTACAAAGGAGCAGAGTCCTTGTAAGTTATTGAAGTTAAGCTGGAATGAATTCAAATTAGGGTGTTATAATTTTAGGATGTTTAGTGTAATCCCTATGGTAACCACCAAGAAAGTAGCTAGAAAATATATACAAAAGGATATGAGAAAGGTGTTTAAATGTTTCATTGGAACAAGGTCAACTAAACATAAAAGACAGTAATTCAGGAAATGAGAGACAAAAAGGTATAAGGCATATCGAAAACAAACAGCAAAATGACAGAAGTCTCTCCTTACCAGTAATTACTTCAAATATCAACAGATTAAACTCCCCAATCAAAAGACAGAAGTTGGCGGAAGGGTTTAGGAAAAAAACAACCATGACCCAGCTGTACTCTGTATACAAGATACTCATTTTAGATCCAAAGACACAAACAGATTGAAAGTGAAGAATGGGGGGAAAATATCCAATGGAAAATAGTAACCAAAATAGAGCAGGGGTGGCTATAGTGGCATTGGATGAAATAAAGTAGTTAGGTAAAACATACTGATATTAGACAAAATAGACTTGGGAGTTTTAAGGCATAAAAGATTACAAGAAACAAGTACATTGTACATCAATGAAAGAGTCGATATACCAAGAAGATAGAATTATAAATATTTGTGTGCCTAATGACACACCATCAAGATTTATGGAGCAAAAACTGACACAGTTGAAGGGAGAAATACAATTCTACGGTAGTTCAGTGCCCCACTCTGTAATGGATAGAACAATCAGAAAAGATAAAGGAGGAAATGGAGAAATTTTCACAGTAGATCAACTGTGAAATTCTATCTGACAAACAGAATGCACAGTCTTCTCAAGTGCATACAGGACATTTTCAGGATAGACCATTCGTTAGGACACTAATTGAGTCTCAGTGGATTTGAAAAGGTAGACATCATACAAAGTATTTCTCTGACCACAATGGGACGAAGTTAGAAGTCAGTAATAGAAGGAAAGCTGGAAAATTCACACAAGTCAGTGGAAACTAAATAACACTCTTAAACAGTTAATAGATCAAAGAAGAAATCACAGGGAAATTAGAAAATAGTTAGAGATGATCGAAAACAAAAACACAGCCCTGGCTGGTGTAGCTCAGTGGATTGAGCGCGGGCCTGCGAACCAGACAATCGCGGTTCGATTCCCAGTCAGGGCACATACCAGGGTTGCAGGCAGGTTCCCTGCAGGCCAGTTCCCAGCAGGGGACGCATGAAAGGCAACCGTACATTGATGTTTCTCTCCCTCTCTCCTTCCCTTCCCCTCTAAAGATAAATAAATAAAATCTTAAAAAAAAAAAAAGAAGAAGACAAAAACACAACATACCAAAACATGGAACACAGCGGAAGAGGTGCTAAGGGGAACGTCACAGCTAAAACCATTGGAAAACAAGAAGGGTCTCAGCAACCTAACTGTGATTTAAGGAACTAGACAAAGGAGGAAAAAACGAAACCCAGAGCAATCGGAAGGAAGGAAATAATGATTAGAGCAAAGAAAAGTAGTGAAGTAGAGAATGGAAAAACAATTGAGAAAATCTTTGACACCAAAAGTTGGTTCTCTGAAAAGGTCACCAAATTTGCCAAACCTTTGGGTAGATGGACTAAGAAATAGAGAAGACTCAAATCACTAAAATCAGAAAAATGAAGACATTAGTAGTGATTCTACAGAAATAAAAAGAATTATAAGAGAATACTGTGAACAAATGTGTGCCAGATGAAGAAACATAAAACCCACCAAAACTAAATTATGAAGAAATAGAAAATCTGAATGGATCTGTAACTTGGAGGAAAACTGAATTGGTCATTTAAAATCTCCCAGCAGAGGAAACCCTGGACCTGGTGGCTTCACTGGTGATTTCTACCAAACATTTAAGGAAGAACTAAGACCAGGCCCTCTCTCTGTGTAACCGAAAGGTCACTTTACCAGACACCTCTTAGCAGACTGGCCTTTCTGAAGGCGTAGTGTAAGGCCTTTGGGAAGACTTGATGCGTCTTGACAGCAGGGGCTAGGTTACGAGCATCTTCCCAGGTTATGACTATGACAATAGAATCATAGTCATTCCCCATGCAAGAAGCACCCAGCACAGGTCTCCTTAAATCCACATGATCACTGGTGAAGTAGGTGATTTTGTTTCCATTTTACAGATGAGGAAACAAGAGATGTGAGCCACTTTGCCCCAAAGAGCCAGGACTTGAATAGTCAGCTCTCCATCTGAACTCTTCATCTGCTTCCCCCTCCTTTTTAAAAATAATATACACATAGTAGGTGTTCAGGAAATCTTGATCAAATGAATGCTGAAGAAAACAGACTGGAAATGTGGAGACAAGTGGAGGTTAGCAAGTTTTCCAACAGTAACCCCAAACTAGGAAGAATAATGAGTTGACGGAGCCACTAGAGGTCAGAATTGAGCAAGTCCTTGTTAGCCCAGGCCGCAGTGGTCTCCTACCCTTTGAGCTGGGGAGGATTACACAGGAGCCTCCACCCCCCTCCCCAGCCTCCCTCTCCATAGGTGAGAAAACTGAAGCTTGAAGGTTCTATGACTTGCCCAAAGCCACAAGGATCCACCATGCTTTGCCCAACACCATGATACCTCTTTGTGCACCTTCCCAGAGCTTAAAACACTGTCATCTGAAGACGGCCAGTGACTCTGTGGAACGTGAGAGGCCGAGCCTGGCTCTGTCACGGGGCCATGTGGTGAAAACCGGGGAGAGTTTGATTTTGGTAATGTGGTGCGGCTTTGACTCGGAGTTACAAATGCGTTTTACATCCAGACCCAATAAATTACAGAATCATAATGCAATAGATAGATATAAATGATATGTATTTAGAAATGGTTTCACAAAATAAGACTCATCCTGCCTGTGATGTAGTGCATCCTGTAATTTTCCCCTTCAGTCTGGTTAGAGAGAGAATGCTAATCACAACCCACTCAGCTGACTCTAGACCCTCTGCTGGTCACAGCCCGAGCTGCACACCACTGCTCTAGCTCACTGACTGGTTTCAACCAGCAGAGGGGTTACTTCTCCTGAGCTTTGACGCCTGCACACCCAGTAGTCTTCGTTTGGGGCAGAGAGAGAGGGTAAGAAGCTCCTAGAACACAACTATCAGAAGCAGACCTTTTGGAAGCCTGTGCCGAGAGGAGTGAAGCAGAGCAGAGCTGGGAGCCCCGCCCCCAAGGCAGTCCCCTCAGTCGGGGCTCAGGAGAGGGAGGCTGCTGTAAACAGGCTCTGCTCTCATTTGGGTGTGGTCCCACCTGGGGAACTAGGGGTTCCGCACAAAATGCACTGTACTTATACACTTACACGTGTAATGGTGTAGGAACAAAAATGTTATTGAGCACTAAAAATATATTAGGTTATGGATATATTGACTGGGAATCCTTGAAAGTTGAGCCCCTGAGCAGTGGGTCCATAGACTGGACGGAGATCAGGGTGTTTTGTTTTGCTTTTTCCTGATAACCTAGACCAGTGCATCTCTGACTTTAGTTTGCATAAGAATCATCTGCAGATCTTATTAAGGTGCAGGTTCTGATTCAGGAGATCCCAAGAGGCCTTTGATTCAGAGGGAGAGGAGTAGGAGGGTCTGGTGGGTATGTCCAAGCTGAGCCAGCTGCTTTTTCCTGCAGACATGGAGAAGGGCTGCCACTTCCGGCACATCTTGGCCTGCGCCCGCCTGAGCGTCAACCCGGGCCTGAGTGAGCCCGTGCTACAGCAGGTGCTGGAGTTCCTGGAGGACCAGAGTGACATCGTAAGCACAATGGAGCAATACTACATAGCGTTCTGAGGATGGGCTGTAGGCAGCCCTGGCAGAGCCGGGCCAGCGAGAAGGACCAAGTGGTGTTCATTTCCAGGCCCTGGTTTTAAACATCATGCAGAGGCTCATAGGTCGGGAGGCAGTTATCTTATAATCAACTATGAAATATGGTCATTTGAGGAATGGAATTTGGCATAAATTCTGTAGGCTGCCTTCTACCTGCTGTATTCTTGGGATAAAGTGACTATTATCTCAGCCACACATACAAGAAAACCCTCTCGTTTGACCTCCTCACTGGACTGAGCATCCTTGGTGAAGCAGGAAGGGTGGGCGGAGACAGTGTTGGTGGCTGAATCGCTGTGTGTGGGTGGGACTCCCGTGGTGAAGGGACATCACACGGTAAAGCCCGTGGATGTGGGATTGAAGAGCATGCAACCAGATCACACAGGCCTGAAACTTTTTAAAAGGTTAGACTACCAGAAATATTCTTGTTTGTCTGCTTAGTAGTTGAGAACCCTGCATAGGAAGCTAACTGTCCCTGAATGAGTGCCGTGGAAATACGCTTTCCAATGGTCAGGCACCCACGGTGCCTCATGAGTTCTGTGTTCAGTGCTTTTACAGACCCACCCAGAGATGGCAGTAAATGGGTCCCAGGCATGGCTCTAGGTTTGTGTTTTTTTCTGAGTCACAAGGTGTCTCCACACACAGACTTGGTACGTGCGCAGACAGGTCATAGAGTCACACCTCTGCTCCGAATGACAAGGTCAAGGGAAAAAATCTGAGGCATGTAGAGGGCTTGTTCCAACAGCAAGGTGACAAACCCAGCCAGCAAAAATCAAATGTGGAGAAAGATTTGGAGCTAATTACAGTGCACGGCGTTTGCTCTTGATGTGACGAGCTCTTAGCAGCTCCGCAGCAGAGCCTGCAGACCTGGGGACTTGCTCTGCTGTGTGTGGGGGTGAAGTGGTTTCACACTCAGAAGTCAGCTGCAGCTCCTCACATCAGGCGGACGGCTAGTGCTGGCAGGTGGCTGGCTTCCTGTCACAGGCTTTTCCGACTTCACCCAGACCTCTGCCCTATTTCTATCAGCAATTACCCAGATGGCTGCCCCGGGTCCTCCCTGTGGTGTAGAAGAGGGTCTACCTGGAGTGATACCCCCATGGTTCTTCCCTGAAGGCATTGGCTGTTCCATGTTGAATACATCTCAGGTTACTGGAGCTGCCAGGAAGCAGCCTTGGATGAGGCTGTTAAAAGGGCACACTTCTCTTGTACATAGCAGCCCCACTTCTAGCGTTGATCCCACGGGGATGGCCACATGAGTGTGAAAGGACGAGTGCACGAAATGCCCACTGCTGTATGTTTCAGAGTTCTGTGTTGGGGAAAGGATAGGAAAAGATAGAGTATGTGTATACAGTGAAATACTACGCAGCCATTAAAATGATGGGAGCAGACAGACGTTATTGCCATGGAGCACTGTTCCCAATAGACTTTAGTGGAAAGAAAATCAAGTTACAGATCCATTTATATAGTACAATACTACTGATCTAAAACTGCCTATGTGTACATATGTGTCTAATATATCTGTATAGAGAGTTTCTGTATGTACCTCTGTATAAATATCGCACATGTATACATTTATATATTTTTTTACTGGGTCAGAGGTATCAGTACATTTCCCTGCACTGGGTACATACATGACTAAATATAGTGCCCCTTAATGCCCTGAAGTTCCCGGAGGCTTTTGGCCAATTATCTGAAAATAATGGTAGACATTATTTTCAAGGTTATCGTTGAATGTGCAGGATGTCCTGACCCCATCCATCCACAGACAGGTGCCCGGGCAGGTGGTGGAGTCACGCCTCTTTTCCACGTGACCAGTCCGTGCTCCTAGAAGGGCTTTCTGACACCGCATTCCGAGTGCTCTCGCTCAGCCGCCTCTGCGCAGCCCTCCGTCTCCCTGAGGCTCTGGGTTCAGCCCCAGACGTGTCTGTCTAGCTCGCCTTCCTGGAGGTCTCAACCAGTCTCGTGGCTCCAGTCATCCATATGCTGAGAAATTCTGTAATTTACATCCAGTCGGGACCCTTCTGAACTGCAGACCCCTGCTTCCAACTTCCCGCTGAGCCCTCCACTTGCCCTTCAAATGGTCTGTCTCTGAGGCACGTGTTTCACACCATTTCCCAGGGTTCCTCTGTGGGAACTAGCTCCATGCACCACACTACCCGCTAACCACAGCCATCCGTGACTGGCTGCCTTCCCCGCCCTTCCCCGCTCCCCATTCCTGTCTGATACGCCTCCGAGCCCTTGTCTCGGGGTCAGCTTCTGGATGAACATAAATGAACACGCTCATAAATATATTAGAAATGCTGTATGAATCACAACCACACCAGACAGAGATTACTAGAAATGTTCACCAAAGTGATACACTTGTTGCCTCAGAAAGGTGAGATGTCGGGTGCTTTTTAACTACATGTCTATTCTTTGATATGTTTACAATTAGCAAGAGCCACAAAAATAATAAAGCTGTTCTCCCCACCCCACACTCGCATTACCTGAGTCACGAGCAAACTAAGAATGAGGAGGACCTTATATCCCACAGCAACATAGTAACTGACAGATGAGGGAAGTCCCTGGAAAACCCTCCGGGGCCAGCCACAGCCGGGTCACTTCCCAGGTGACCGAAGAGCCCCCAGACGGCTCCTCTGCAGAGGAGGAAGACTGAGCAGGCGTTCTGCTCTCAGTGCGCACATGTTTCGGGGGGTGCGAACACTGACCCAGTTTATGTGAGCAAGAAGACAAATGCTACCGTCTGGCCAAGGGTTTGTTTGAAGATCCATGATTATCCCCATCTGGGAAGCTCCCAGTGCTTCTCATCCCTCTAAAACACTTCTTTCTAATTACTCTCCCTTCTGATGGTGTGCCAGGACTCTGGCTGAGAGAAAGCCAAGTGGGAAGAAGTCTACACAGTGATGAAGAACCCAGGTCTTGGTGCCAAGGATCGAAACCAAGCAAACTGGTCATTTTCCGTTGGAGAAAACAACCAGACTTTCTTATTAGTGTGGTTTCTTCTCTACAAGTGGCCTCTATAGCCACTACCCCCACAGAAGCATCTCGTTTCCATATTAAATTTATGTGAAGCCCACGCGCACACTCACAGGCCACGATGAGGCCGCAGCAGCCTGCAGCGGGCGCTGGGAGAAGAGCAAGGCCCTTCTGCAGGGAAACGGCCCCTGCGGAGGAAGGACCCGGCAGCAGTTTTTATTCGCACGATGGTCTGCTGGCGGAGGCTCGAGTGTGAGCCCAGAGCCCCGCAAAGGAGAGTTTTTATGTAATCCAGAATTTATTTTTCAAAGGTAGCCTGTTTTCTTTGGACTTTTATTAGATAAACCCACACAGGGTAAGTCACAGCCCAACCCAAGCTTCTATGCACAAGAATACTAGGTCAAATTCCACATCCCTGAAGAGACTCGAGTCCCTCCCTGCACGTCAAATGAAAATGATGGGTTTTCATTTTGGAACATGCAGAGAGGAGTTTCAAAGGCCACATCATAGCCCCAGTCATTTTTAGGTGGAGACAGTAAAGTAGTGTCTCATTACTTCAGACTGATTTGGTAGAAAGTTTATGTAAATGAGCCAAAAGTCTGGGTTTGAAGCAGTGCCATTTTATCACTTTGGGTGTCCGTGTTCCATCTGAGTTACCACGAGGAAACATGTCGCTGTTCTTAGGGAACCTGCTGTGATGAATAAGAAATATCTGAATTGTGTATCGTTATTACTCAATGTCATTTAATTATTATGTATCACTTAATATTATCAGTAGGTGATTTATAAGTACTTGAACATTAAGAAATTGGAAAACATGTCTGTGCAAAAACTTGTGCATGCCTGATTACAGCAGTATTATTTCTAATACTGCTGTATTATTTCTAATACTGCTGTAAACCACCAAAAAGTGGAAGTGACCCAAATGGCCATCAGCTGGTGAATGTATTAAAACAGATGTGGTGTATCCCTACGATGGAACATTATTCAGCCACAAAAAGGAATGAAGTGCTAATGCACCTTGAAACCAGTGCGCTAAGTGAAAGAAGCCGGATACAAGGGACAATGTATTGCATGGTTCCATTTATATGAAATGTCTGGAATCTACAGAGACAAAAAAAATAGATTGGTGGTGGTGGTGGCCTGGGGGAAGAAGGTGAGTGACTGGTATATGGGGTCTTTTTGGGGTAACAGAAATGTTGCAGAATTAGATCGTGGTGGTGTTTGAAAAACTCTGTGAGTAAATCAAACCCACTGAACTCCTTCACATTTTTAACTAGACCCTTATTGAGAAACATGTCATTGGTTTCCAGTTTGTTGTTGTGGTGACCAATTCTGCAGGATTTGTACATTTTTGTACAGTTTTCTTTTCTTGGCATGTGTCTGTGAATATATTTCTGTGATAAATTTCTAGCAGTGCAACTGGTAGGAGAAAGCATGAGCATTTAAAAATTTGAATAGACGTTGACAGGTTACCCCCTGCAAAGACTGGTCCATTTCATACTCCTGTCACTGATTTGTAAGTCTGCCCTTTGTCCTCAAGCTCACCCGCACCTTGTATCATTGAGAGCTCTGATCACTGTCCATCTGATGGGTAAGAACAATTTCAGGGTTTTATTTGCATTTATATTTCTTTAGGTATGAGTGGTGTTGAGCCCATCAGTTCGTTATGGGCAACCTTTATACAGACGTAGTTCTCATCTGGACATCAGACATTGCTGGCAGCAGAGGCCAAGGGCAGCCAGGGCCACATGTTCTAGCAGGGGTATCAGCTACAGAACCGGCCCAGAGGCAGGCTGCTGCGGTCTTAGGTGGTACACAGTGGGGGTAAACATCATGAAGAAGCTGAATCTCAGGGTTCCCAGTCTGAAACTTCAGGTGGTTACGTGTGTGTGCAGATATTCTAACAATACATGAAAATAAAACCAATCCCTCAGACCTGTCATGAACCAGATGTCACTCAGCTCTGGTTCAGTGACTCTGTCCCCAGTCAGAGTCATGTGAAAAACAGGTGACTTGTAAGAAAGTGCTTAAGTGGAGAAGATAGTTTTAGTAACAGCTGCTCTTATCGCTGTTTCCACTTTAATCAACATAGCCTAATTATATTGAGGCTGTGCTTGCATTCTCATTATTGATTGGGTTTGGTACTGTTAGGGACTGGGCAACACCCCTTTCGATAATGTGCTTGGCTAGAAATTGCTTCCTCTGCGAAAAGGGTTATTTTTTTCCCAAAGATAATCAGTGAATGGAGGAAAGAAAGCAGGAGTGAAGACAAAGTATCTTTCCACGTTTAGCCACTTTAGAGCTAATGTGAGCTCCAGCAAAGCCACAATAACGTCTGTCTCATAAGCTGCGATGTGTGAAATGATTAAATTGTGGAAAGTCCTGAATTGTGTGATGTACTGAATTGTGAATGATTATTTAATTATAAATTGGGTGGCAGGATAATATACTGAGCTATTAGCATGAGGTTTGTTTTTCCTGTATTTTATTTCTTCTTTTCAAACAGAAAGTCAGCCTTGCCTCAGGGACATTTGTTTTGTGGGCCCAAGGCAGAAGTTGTCAGGGAAGACAAGCTGGCTTCTATCTTCTGGAAGCCTGGAGCCTGGGAGGGAGCGGGGACAGTGGACCCCAGGCACTGCAGACCGGAATGTTCCCTGCGGTGCCTGCAGCAGGCAGCAGGCAGCGGGTCGGCAGGGCTCCTGCAGAGAATTCCCACCCTCAGTCCGGATTCCCAAGCGTGGAACGGAAGCTTCCTCGAGTCTCCTCTGAAGGGACGGACATGCTGGGGATGTCAGCAAGACTTGGTCTCAGGAGAAGAGTGGTCTTGTCCCATTTCCCAGGCACCACGTAACCTCCTAGCCTGGCGATTTTCTGCTGGTGTGTCACAAGACTTTAAAACCTGCACGACCCGACCAGCAGGCAGTTGCACTGACCTGGCTCTCCCGATTGTCAAATAAAAAATGACAACGGCCAATACAACATAATTGCTGGTGTGAATACATCGAAATAATACCTATTTGTCAGATTGGCAAAAAGTGTATTTTTGGATGTGCCAGAGAATTTTAGTAATTAGTTTACATGTGCCATGCGGTGAAAAAGGGTTAAAATCACTGTCCCAGACTGTCACACGTTCCCAGAGAAGGGGAGAGCTGCCGGGCCCGCCCGCTGTCAGCAATGTTTCCCTGCCAGCCCAGGAGGCAAGGCCTCCAGGCCTGAGGTGACTTTGAGGGGGAAAAACAAAAAGGAATCTGACCCATCTCTCCCACCTGAGTTTGGGGAGTAAGAATCTATCACACGACACTCAAACTAAATTCAGCATGAGTCTTAGAACAAGGTCTCATTGTGTTCCAGAATATTCTCTCTAGTGGGAGAGCAGAGGGTGGCATGACAGCACAGTTCCAGAGACATTGCCCGTGAAACCTCTGAAAGCCGCCTGCATCACATCCAGTGGATTCCAGGAATCCACTGGAAATCGCCTCAGGGGGAGGGGGAGGCTCTGCGGAAGAGTTTGTTGTGTTTCTTCAGTGGGGTCCACCTTGTCGAGAACTGAAAATATCACCCTGTCTCACAAGCATCGTACGTGCTGATTGGCCAGAGGCGACCTGTGAACACAGGCAAGGGAGCAAAAGAATCGAACTTAGGAGAGGCCCCGCACCACCCGAGCGATGAGCCTTCTTCCAACAGGAAGAAGCTTGCAGAGGCCTCACTCAGCCAACAGCCAGCCCAGCCCAGCGCCTGGGGCAGAGTCAGCAGGCCGCCTGTCCTGTGGCTTCGGTCCCGTCCAGGCTTGCCTTGACCGGGTGGAGGGCGAGAAGTGGAAACACGGCTCCTGGGAATGACAGCTGGCTCGGGAACGCTGGTGTCAGCACTCTGTCCCGGGCTGGGCCGTCCGCACAAGCAGACGCCGGGTCCCAGCGAGCCCCGGAACGGAGCGATCTGCCATTTCTGTCCATTGGCTGTAGATCCAGATAACTGGGAAAGATGGGAGGTGGGCAGATTCTGAACCTACAGACAGCAGTGTTCTGGTTATGTTTCCAAAGGGCTGGAGACTTAACCGAGCCCACCTGTCCCTGGCTGTTTCAAAGCAGAAAGTTTGAAGGTCGGAGGTTGCTCATGTCACAGTTCACCTGGAAGTCTGTGTCTAGCAGGAGACACAACGTGGTGCTTAATGACTGTGTCAGTGGAAGAGCAGTGTACATTATTGAGTGCCAGCTGTGTGCAAAACATCATGCCAGGTGCAGAGGCGGGTGCTAAGGCAAAGCACCACCCCTGTCTTCAGGGAGCTTTCAGTCAAACCTACATGACGTGTAGCCCATGGGTGCCAATGTGTCATGTTTGGCCCTCAGAGTTTTCAAAATGTATACCAACACAAAAAAAATTGGCTACCCCCTGACCAGTGTGGCTCTGCTGGGCATCGTTCCACAAAGCAAAAGGTCGCCGGTTTGGTCGGGGACATGCCTAGGTTGCGGGTTTGGTCCCCAGTCGAGGTGAATGCAAAAGGCAACCAATTGATGTTTCTTTTTCACATTGATGATTCTCTCCCTCTCCCTCTCTAAAAATTAATTAATTAATTCTGTCAAATAAAGAGGGATTGGTGTGAATGTCTGCCTGTGTCTGGAAGGCTACAGAAGGAACCAGCAACCAGTCAGCCTTTTCAGGTCGGGAATTGGGGCCAGGAATGGGTGGGAGATTTATTACAAGGTTTATCATTGTTTTACTGTGTAAAATGTAATAACTCTGAAAATAAACAAACAGAAAGCATTGTGGGAATTCACATAAAACTCCCAGATTTTGGGCTTTCCTTGACATCTCAGAATCCTGGCCAAACTGGGGACATGTAGTCGGGACACAGAGTGTGGCGGGGGAGGCGCAGCGTTAGAGGAAGTCAAACTGAGAGCTGGCATCAGACGTACCTTTCGGAAAGGCGGCCTGGGCCCCGCATGAGAGCAAGTTCAGGGGCAGGTCGTCTTCTGCAGGTGGCCGGGAAAGGCAGTGCGGGCTGACCCTGCGAGCATGGCAGGGAGCCCGATGTCAGACACTCATGAAACAGAACGGAGAGGTGGGTTACCCAGGTACAGGGAAGGGCTGGGGTAATGCCCGGGTTCGGCCAGCAGAACCAGGTCAGTGCCACAGGCGATGCAGACTAATGGAGGCGGGGCTCCGACTTGGGAGGGGTGGGCCTTCTGAACCACCGTCAGCAGCAATGCTGAAGGAGTGCATCTCCTGAAGTGCAAGGGCGGAGGGGACAGTTAGCGCCTCTCCCCCACTCCTGGCACCAATAGTGATTTACCAGAGAAAGGGGCCCCACTGGGGGAATTGGAATTTTGAACAGAGAAACTTAATGCTTGTGGCTTAAAAGGCAAAGAAACACCAACTGAAAAGTAGCTGAAATCATAGTCTTTTAGAGACTCGATTTTCTGGGATGTGTGTGTGTCCCTTACAGCTTCATCAGTCACCATGAAAGCCCTTTTTGGGCTACGGAGCTTCTAGCAGGGTGCCGTTCCTGAGGGGATTGCCTTGGGCTACAGCCCCAAACAGCACCTGGCCCATGACAAGCCAGGCTGCCTGGCCACCTCCACCGCCCAGAGGGAGTGGCCGAGCCCTGCGCCTGGTGTTTGAGGCAGGGCTTAATGGAACCAGCCTGGAGCTGTATCTACCATTCTCCTTCCCCTTCAGAGTAGCAGTTTGGGGTCTACTGGAGGACAGAAACAGATCATTCCTTGAAGGCAGGAAGTTGAGCTTCAACTGCCTCTGCCCCATGGAACAGCATTGGACCCCCTTTGCTACGGGAATTGGAGTTGAAAATACTCCCATGCGTTTTTGAAGCCATCAGTTTAGTGATGCTGTGGCCTGGGACTTAAACCCTGATGTAAGAAAGGTCTTGAAAGGAAAATCACACTGATATGAAGTGCTTAGTAATAGCTCATGATTATTGAACAGTTACATATCAGTCACTCAGCAGACTTAAATGTTCATATAAATCCAAATAGGTGGCACTATTATTACTCCCGCTTTACGGATGGAGAGAGAGAGGCTGAGACTGACTTGCCCAAGGGCATGCAGCCAGTAACTGGAAGAGCCAAGTTTGTTCCCACTGAGACTGACCACTAGGCTATATTGCTCTCAGAATCAGAGAAGGGAATTTTCTGGTAACTCTACACTGCAAAGCCATTAAGAGTATCTTCAAATTTGGATTGATGTATACACATTACATGTATACATCGTACTGAGGCTGCACTGAGAAAGGCCTGCCTGATGGGTGGTAAAGGTCATATGGGACCCTGGGCTGAGTGTAAGGGGGGATATCACACCCCTGGTGAAAGAGGGAGCAGGGGTTTACTCAGATATGCAGAAGAGCTGGGTAGGGACAGCGAACAGTTCTACCTACCGGCAGTACAGTCCCAGAGGGAGACCGAGAGACGGGGTTAGTAACCTCCGAGGGGCTGGCTTTGGCCCATGCGGCGTGTGTATTCTCAGGCTCTGTGTGCGTGTGTGTTTAAATATTAAAGATGTCTATAAAATATTTAAAACATAAAAAATAATGAAGCAGAAAACCTAGATTCCACTGAGAGGAGACAGCTGTTACTGTTTTCCTGTGTTTGTTTTAGGTTTATGTCTTTAAAGAAGCAATGTTAGGGATTCAGGTGAAGCCGACCCCATTCCTGTCCCGCCTCTGCCCCTACAGGTAACAAGTCCCTCGAAGGAATGTGTATCATCATTCCCATGCAGATTTCTTTGTTGTGGCGTAACCCACAAATGGTAAAGTGTACGAGTCTTAATCACATAGCTTGCTGAATTTCTATGCAGGGACACTCCCAAAACAAGCTGCAGATCAGGAACACGTTCAGGGCCTCGGGGGCACCTTCGCCTCACATTTCAAAGACCAACTGATGGAGTTGCCAACATTTCAGAGTTGAAAAATCTAGCACTGGCTGCTGTGGCTCAGTGGATTGAGCACCAGCCTGGGAACCAAAGGATTGCCTGTTCGATTCCCAGTCAGGGCACATGCCTGGGTTGCAGGCCAGGTCCCCAGTAGGGGGTGTGTGAGAGGCAACCGCACATTGAAGTTTCTCTCCCTCTCTTCCTCCCTCCCTTCCCCTCTGTCTAAAAGTAAATAAATAAAATCTTTTTTTAAGTGGAAAAAATCTAGAGATTTAATGTAAAAACCAAAATGTCTAGTTTCTCTTGAAATTTTGGAAGAATCCGGCCACACAAACACAAACTCCGGCTCAGAGACAGAGTAGCCGCACCCGTTTGGGACGAGACACGAGCTCCCCACTTGAGCTACTGCTTCTGTCGTCCTGCCGTCCTGTCGTCCTGTCCAGCCCACCTCACTCATTCACACAACCTAACCTGCGGCTCATCCCTGAAAGGGGCCACTGTATGT